ATTGAAGTTGAAAATGGCCACCGAAGGTGACATTTAAAGCCTTATATAACCTGAACTATTAAAAATTGTTATAATGCACATAGGTTCATTATCAACGATGATTTTAATAAACTATTGTTTTAATGCATTTTCACAGGATACGCGTACATAATGTATTTACAAGACAACTTAAAACAAGACTGTTAAATATAATTTATATACAACCCGTTTATAATTGCGAAACAATAACTACTATTTCCCTGAACGAAAACGTAGGCACAATTAATGTAATCATTAGACTTGATAATGATAATGAAGGACATCATTTATTATCAGAATGAGTGAAGCGCTCAATTGACAAAATTCAAATTCATTATTTTTCGGTAGAAATGGATTAAATGAATTAATCAGATACACCTGACCTGTAGACAGGTAATGTAGCCGGGTCAACTCTACACTGGTTTATGGCAGAATAACCAATACTGTGCACGTGATTCCATTTTACTTGTTTATTTGATATCACAAAGAAGACCCCTATCAATCCGGCAGGGGTCAATCCGGCAGGGGTCTTAATGACAATACTAACAACGGCTTGTCGTCTATATGTTCAATTCATTTTATGATATTGCTGCACTATTCAATTAATGTATATAGGTTGTACAAGAGCGTGTTACATGTACGTCAGGTACTCTTCATGTCAGGTGCAGGAATCCCAGTAAAACTCACGGGTACACGAACGAACACGCAATCACGTGACAAGACACGTGAAAGAGCTCAGATGGACATGTGAACTGCACAAACAGGTTTGACAAGTACATGTATTAAAATAGATAGCGCTAGAGATACATTATATAAAAGTACAAAATAATGAATACTAATATTACCACTTTGGTAATATATAGAAAGTCTGAAAGATTTTAATCAAACTATATTTAAACAAAATACTCACTGCCACAATAACATGGAACACCTGTAGAAATGGATTAGCTTAAATAGCCAGTTACACATGTAGAAATAAATTAGCAAAAATAAAACCAGTTATACCTGTAAACGTTTACGCTGTATTATTCACGGCAGGCGGCCGCAAAAAGGTCACCGCAGCTGATGAAAGCAGGTGAACACACGTACATGTAATTCCGTTTATTTTTAAAATAGGACCGTCAATGTGGCATCCTGAAATCTGCCGCTTTATAGCGTAATATGTGAGGAGGAAGGTTAACGTTCGACGATGTTGGTCTCCGATAAACTGATATTTAACGGAGGAGATAGTTATTTTAGCATTGCTATCTCACCATTTCTATCGGATTCTCGATAAGGTTTCATTTATTCATTACATAGATCAATTCTTCCATACAACATCTTCTAAATGACAGATTATTATTTATAATTTTCAAAGGGTTTTGATACTGTAAGTATGGAGACTTTACGAGCTCGTCTGTAAAGTATGGATGAAAAGGCATGTACTGGCGTACTGGAAGAAATTAGAGGAAGGCTTAGCGCTAAGGAGTAAGACAGAAAGGAAATCAATTGACCAGTTCAGGACTACGCGATGATAACGTAACTTCTATATGTTTAACAGTCTATATGATGTAGTTTAATTAGTTACGTTAATACATGAAGCTCAGGTCAGGAGAGAAACATTCCGGAATTTTCAGGATTATACAGACAAAAGGCTTTTTGGCAAAAGTGCCATCATTCAACTCATTAAACAACCTGACAGTGATATGGTAAGACCTTGCAAGCGGCAACGTATGCGTAACACACAATTTGAATGATGAAACACTTAACCGTAATCACATTCCAAAGCACACCCGGAAGATGCTGGTTGACAGTTGAGGAGACCAGTACAAGATGTCAAGAAATTGAAAAAGGGAAAGTACAGAATGTACTATTTCACCAATACTGTCCATCACAAGAGTTGATGTTAGTATATAGGCAGTAAAGAGAAAAGCTCGTGGACCTACAAAAGAGTTGGCCGGATGGGTCTTGTCTCCTTGAAGGAGACGACATTGCAATGTAGTTAAAACTTCTCAAACCACGATGTATATATGAGGAATGGTTGACTCAGTCATTAGTTTGAGGTATAGGTCAAGGAGGAACACCGCAAACCACCAAGCAGTAGTATGTGATGACAGCACCATCAAGTGTCCAGAGAAATGGTTAATCACAAACTAGTGCCATCAGGCTAGCATGGCAGCTGCTACTGTTTGAAACATCAACGTCAACAGTAGAAGTGTTCATGAAGATGGTGAATAAATGCAGAAATGTGGAAGCGGCTTGCAGTTCAATACGGTTTCAACAAATTGGTCGGCATGTAAAGCATCTCGGTAGAACTACCATTGAGATCGATACGAGTATGGGAGCACAAAATGCAGACTGGTGATGACGCTGGGGTAATCTAAAGACACAACGATCATCAATGCAGGAATAAAGACAAACACAGACAGGAAAAGACCAGCGAGAACTCTGGTACAGGAAGTAGAAAGTACAATTGTATGCTGCTACTAAGAAATTACGTAGACATGCTTTCCTAGCAAATTTCCTTAAATCGAAGAAAAAATGAATGAAACAAACTAGTATCAGGATGGGATTCCCCAGATAAAGCCACAAGAGATCATCGAGGTACCATGTACATAATCGTTTGGAGAGGTTACAAACTTGGCATTTGAAGGTAGCCCTATACCTGGTCAAAAAGCTTGTATTTCAAGGCATTGTGGAAAAACGCCGAGGCTTGATGACATGGTTATGTAGTCAGAGCAAGCTAAGCACTTCATCGCTTTAGAGTTCATCTCGCAACAGAGGGAGAGAGCTAAATATGATTAGCTGTTGAAAACCTGCAAGAGAGCAGAGGATGGACAATATTGGTTCTTCTGTTGGTTTGCACTCCGTCCGTCTGTTCTTCTGTCCGAGAAGTTTGACCTTAACTTTTGAAAACGTTTGTCCGGGACAGGACACATCTTCTGTACTATTTCACCTGGTGTAACCTCACTGTGACTTATGGTTCCTGACATGCGTTTACTGTTTGTTAAATACAGAAATCATTACCGGTGGGGGAATATGGATTACCTTGTACTACTTTGCCTTGTTGTAATAAATATACTTCTACTTCTCGCGTAACCAAATAATTACTGGCATTTTCATGTGCAAAGAATAACACTTCGAGAGTTTACAAAAATGTAGTCTATATGGACAGATATTTTTGTGTGTAAAATATCACAAAGCGGTGAACTATTTTTGTTGATCGTTACCGACTTGGCTGGGGCGTTCCTTCGTCTCAATCGAAAGAAAACTCGACTGGTAATCTGTGGTCCCGGGTTCGACTCCTAGCAATATCAATTCTTGCATATTTATATAGACTTGCAGGTCCGTTTGATTGAACACTTTGAATAATTCAAGGGTTGAAGTACTTTCGACCTTCATCTTATCTTTACTTACTTCTTACTAAAGTAGCCTGGATTTATTCACGACACAAACGTGACAGTTCAGCATATCACGTCGTTTATGAATAATTCTAACGTGTCCTGATTTTAACAGCTGGAAATAATTTACCGATATGTTTGACATGGTAGACTTGTAGGGTACCAGCTCGAAATTACACCACTTTTTCCTCCAGACTACGAAATGTTCGACAATGTGATTGTCTGAGGGAGGCAAACAAACTGTCTAAAATCTTTAACTCTTTAAGTCTGGTGGAAGGAGAAAGTCGTATAAAAAAATCAGGCGTGCTTTAATATGTATTTGATTACTAGACGTTAGCACAAAATTTGATTTTTTTCCCTCTTCTCACACCGATGCTCCCGAATGTGTATCCTCGCGATGTTATCAAACTACAAGATAAGTTTTTTTCCCTTTGTTACGCAAATAGTTTCGCCTCTAAAGTAACCTAGCGCTCCCAGCAAAGGTCATGTCCGTCTGACCTTTGGAAGAACAAGACGCAACGAACTGTAGTGTATGAAAATAAACGCTGGTCCTCGAAACACTGAAGTGACTGTAGTACCTCTGTGTTACCCTCCTTTTTAGTTTTTTTTTTTTTTTAAATGAGTGCAAAAGGTTTCCTGTTTATTCATTCTTACGGCAGATTTTTATTTACCTTCTTTTGAACAGCAGATCATCATGATCTTTATGTTCAACGATTGTTTTCATACCGTAAATTCTGTCAAACCGCGAGAGATATCGATCCTTTTATGTAACTCGGTGGCCAACAACGAGATTCAACACAGGGACCTGAGAAGTTGTTACAGCTATATTTGGACCTAAACTAAGATGTTCAGAGTAAATGTACTTGTTGTAGGGGTTTAGATCGACTTTCGGTAAAAAAAAAAAGACATCCCCATTAATGTTTATCTTAGTTAATTAAAGGTCCAAATAGCTGTAACAAATTATCAGGTCCCTGTGTCTTTTTAACCCTAGTGACTGTTCTAGCATATCGGGAAAGAACAAATGAATGTATACTAATTTCAGCTAAAAGCACATGAAATTATTGGCATATTTCAACAATTATTCTTCGACTTGATGTCCCTTTTTAAGTTGAAGCTCTAATATCTGGAAGAGATACTGGATACTTATAATAATGTAACTCCATTTCAAACTTTATTAAAATCATTGACTTATTTTTATAATTTTATAGATTTCCTCTTGATGTCGCTTATAATTTTATCTCACCTGTTCATTTTTGACCCTTTGCTCCCCCATAAGATTGGCCAAAAAAAAAGTGTGAATGTTTTGACACATATGAATCAGCTTATGGCAAATCCTCGTGATACATCAAACAGAATAAATAAATGGTTGTTATCTTTTTGTGGTTTTATTATTTATTTTTATTCATCATATTAAATATTACATACTTCAATAGGAACGTTTCAATGTCTACTATAAGGCCACAATAAACACTCTTTGTGTTTCAGCTTTCGGTTTTCATATGGATTACTTTGTAAGTAGGACTAAAGCAGTGATTGTCTATAAATAGCCCCAACAGATAAGGATATAGGGAAAGCAGAAACACAAATTTTGTTTACCTGACCTTTTTTTTTTTTACATTTTTGCATCATATTAACATAGGTATAAAATATATTCATTCACAGATAAAAAAGATAATCCTAACCACAATATACCTTTGAAGACACAATTCAGACCTCCTCTATAACTGGAGGTAAAATATTTGCTGCCGTTTAAAGGGAATGGATTTTAATAACGCTAATGTGTAATTATGAAGCAAGAATTCAGAAAGAACTTAAAGAACGCACAGGAAAACAAGTAATATCCTTCACTTTGAAATGCAAGTGGTTAATTGATCTAACAATCAAAGTCACATTTATGACTTTACAAGATAAACCTTAAAACGATAACAATGCTAAAATGTAGGTGCTATACAGCTAAAACATACTATAAGTTACCACAGTTTTATTTGAGCCACATAATTAAGCAGGTGAAGTCCAGTGAATTAACACCTTATGATTACAGGTACATGTACAAGTAACATGTACAGTATACTTAGGCACAGTGAGCATGTCAATCACCGAAAACATTTTTCTTACAGGGAAATTAACATAAGCAGAATTTGTCGGGTGGGAGTTTTCAAAAACATGTACACAATTACTTTCACATATTCTATAACTTATTTTGATATACAACTTGCTACCAACAGACAGTGGCATGCTATAGAACTATAAGTATTGGTCATTGTATATAGAGCTACATTATATGATGTAGCTTATGATATCCAAAGAATATTTGCCCTCCTCACAACAGAAAATATCTGGAACAAACAGCTTCTTTATTATATATCTTTTACACATTTGCAGATTTTTCAAATATTAACAGACCTAATGTCTAAACATAATTTTTTAAACACTTTTGTATAATAAGTAATGTACAGTAGCTATATATCTTTTAAAATAAAATAAAATGAAAAAAGATTAGTAAAAGAAGAAAACGGCCATGACAAAATACAAAGTCATAATCTATATGAAAACCATTGATAATAAAATTAAGTATGGTTAATGTTAACTTTCCATTAATTTTCAATTCAGTTTTGCTTAAACAATACTCAATAGAACCTGTCTGAAGAGACCAACCTCTCTGTCACTACAGAAGAACCTGTCTGAGGAGACCAACCTCTCTGTCACTACAGAAGAACCTGTCTGAGGAGACCAACCTCTCTGTCACTACAGGAAAACCTGTCTGAAGAGACCAACCTCTCTGTCACTACAGAAGAACCTGTCTGAGGAGACCAACCTCTCTGTCACTACAGAAGAACCTGTCTGAAGAGACCAACCTCTCTGTCACTACAGAAGAACCTGTCTGAGGAGACCAACCTCTCTGTCACTACAGAAGAACCTGTCTGAAGAGACCAACCTCTCTGTCACTACAGAAGAACCTGTCTGAGGAGACCAACCTCTCTGTCACTACAGAAGAACCTGTCTGAAGAGACCAACCTCTCTGTCACTACAGAAGAACCTGTCTGAGGAGACCAACCTCTCTGTCACTACAGAAGAACCTGTCTGAAGAGACCAACCTCTCTGTCACTACAGAAGAACCTGTCTGAGGAGACCAACCTCTCTGTCACTACAGAAGAACCTGTCTGAAGAGACCAACCTCTCTGTCACTACAGAAGAACCTGTCTGAGGAGACCAACCTCTCTGTCACTACAGAAGAACCTGTCTGAAGAGACCAACCTCTCTGTCACTACAGAAGAACCTGTCTGAGGAGACCAACCTCTCTGTCACTACAGAAGAACCTGTCTGAAGAGACCAACCTCTCTGTCACTACAGAAGAACCTGTCTGAGGAGACCAACCTCTCTGTCACTACAGAAGAACCTGTCTGAAGAGACCAACCTCTCTGTCACTACAGAAGAACCTGTCTGAGGAGACCAACCTCTCTGTCACTACAGAAGAACCTGTCTGAGGAGACCAACCTCTCTGTCACTACAGAAGAACCTGTCTGAGGAGACCAACCTCTCTGTCACTACAGAAGAACCTGTCTGAAGAGACCAACCTCTCTGTCACTACAGAAGAACCTGTCTGAGGAGACCAACCTCTCTGTCACTACAGAAGAACCTGTCTGAGGAGACCAACCTCTCTGTCACTACAGAAGAACCTGTCTGAGGAGACCAACCTCTCTGTCACTACAGAAGAACCTGTCTGAGGAGACCAACCTCTCTGTCACTACAGAAGAACCTGTCTGAGGAGACCAACCTCTCTGTCACTACAGAAGAACCTGTCTGAGGAGACCAACCTCTCTGTCACTACAGAAGAACCTGTCTGAGGAGACCAACCTCTCTGTCACTACAGAAGAACCTGTCTGAGGAGACCAACCTCTCTGTCACTACAGAAGAACCTGTCTGAGGAGACCAACCTCTCTGTCACTACAGAAGAACCTGTCTGAGGAGACCAACCTCTCTGTCACTACAGAAGAACCTGTCTGAGGAGACCAACCTCTCTGTCACTACAGAAGAACCTGTCTGAGGAGACCAACCTCTCTGTCACTACAGAAGAACCTGTCTGAGGAGACCAACCTCTCTGTCACTACAGAAGAACCTGTCTGAGGAGACCAACCTCTCTGTCACTACAGAAGAACCTGTCTGAGGAGACCAACCTCTCTGTCACTACAGAAGAACCTGTCTGAGGAGACCAACCTCTCTGTCACTACAGAAGAACCTGTCTGAGGAGACCAACCTCTCTGTCACTACAGAAGAACCTGTCTGAGGAGACCAACCTCTCTGTCACTACAGAAGAACCTGTCTGAAGAGACCAACCTCTCTGTCACTACAGAAGAACCTGTCTGAGGAGACCAACCTCTCTGTCACTACAGAAGAACCTGTCTGAGGAGACCAACCTCTCTGTCACTACATAAGAACCTGTCTGAAGAGACCAACCTCTCTGTCACTACAGAAGAACCTGTCTGAAGAGACCTCAGCTTCTGTCACTACAGAAAAACCTGTCTGAAGAGACCTCAGCTTCTGTCACCAAAGTAGAACCTGTCATGAGAGACCAACCATTCATAGTTTGGTTATTCATTCTTGACTTTCACAGGTATACATCCAGTTAATAGAATAAGGAACGTACACGTATTTACAGATAGCGTAATTAAAACAAACTACAATGCCTGGTTGACCAAATAAACACCTTCATACATCTTTCACAACACACAATATGGCAATATAAAGGCAAACAATTTTAATCAGAACTACAAGAGCTCTTTGTAGCACACATCAATACCAGAACATTATAATCACAAAACAAACTAAGAATATTTTTAATGTCAATATATGTTTTGTCAGCATACACTAACATGGGCGCTTTCTGAGCATACATCAGATAGAGCTCTTTAAAAAAAGAAAGAAATATGAGCCCTTTCTAAACACACAGACATGAGTTCTTAATGAGCACATCATATTGGCCTTTCTGATCAAACAGCAATGCAAACCAATCACACACAAATACAAGACCTTCCCGCACTTTGACCTACATGGGCTCTTTCTGATAATTCAGAAAGTAGAGACTTATCTTACCAGGCGACATGTTTCAATCCGAATAAGAACCTATCTGAGCTAACATCAACATAGAGTTTTTAGCACAAATTTAGAGCCCTTTTCACCAATGATATGGCTACATCTGAGTGAAGATCCATGTTTTTGTAGGTTCTCGCAAAAACAAGCCCCTAAACGAACTCCTATACCACTGACAAAATCAATGTTTGGAAATAACTTTGCATTGGAATTTTTTTCCGGACATCATGGCAACAGGTTTTACAAAACATTTCTGAAAAGAAACGAACCTTACAGTATTTACAAAAAAATAAATTGATAAGTGTTCTGAATATCAAAATACAAAGGGACTAGACCAGGATTCGAACCCTGGACTTCTGATCATTATACTGATACTCTAACCAATTGAGTTACATGGTAAATGGAAGTATCCTATCCTAGTTGCACTACAGTTAAAACTCAAAAACAAAATTAAGGGGAGGTAACTGTGCATACAAAAACCTATGGTGGAATTAGTGTTTTGTCAGCAGTGGAACAGGATACCTTAATGAGCCAACAACAATTATAATACACAGTGTACATTGATTATCACATTGTTTTTCTTTTAATTTAATTAAAAATACATGTACACATCCCTAGATAGACTTAGCGACATCCTTTCAGAAGTCAATTGTTTTGATTGCTGGCCGTGCATGTGTGCAGTGTTACCGCAAATATATTTGGTAATTAAGGTGGTCAACATATTTCTGTTTATTTCAAAAATGTTTTGTGTGTTTAAAGGAAAGGAAAACATTTATTACTTATTTAATTTAACAATAGAGGGCACATCTTTATTTGATATTGATATATGAAAATGGCAACAAAATTGAGACACTTGGAGGTGGAAACAGATGAAGGGAGATAACTCACAAATTACGCCAAAAAATATATCTTCCATCAATAATGAAAATATGAGTAGGTGCATGTTTCCAAGTCCTTTTCTATAGCGTCTAGATTTAGCCAGTTTGTATCAGTTATGTCAATATTTAGATATAACACAGACACATCAAATTGTTTTACCTGAAATGAGTAATTTCCAATAATGTCACAATCTTTTTATTTTGGTGTAATCAGGAGTTCTATATTTTTGTTTTACTTTTTGCTATGATTCTTTACAATACTGTCTACATCTTAAGCTTTTAACATTTTTAATTTGTATGTTTATATTTTTTCGTTCCAAGAGCAATCCAAGGGACAACTCCAACCTGATGTTTAGGGATATTTCTCATAGGAACATACCAGGGATATATGTGGTGATGATGAGTGAAGGGAGAGGGTCGGGGAAGGGGGGTTAACATTTGTGTCGCAATTCACAGAAAAATAATTTTGAGTGATGGGGTTACACAAATTTACTGCCGCCACCTCCTACCTCTTCCCTCATATCTATTTCTAAAATATATAGCCCTGAATAAAAACCTATTTCAAAAAGCTGTTCTATTCTTTGAAGATGTATTTCACATAAAACATACACTCAATTGCACTGTAGATGAAAGGCAGCAAAATAGATATCCTGAAAAATTTACTAACGATTCAAAATCTTGAAAAGCACAACCGAATGAAATAAAAGCCATCCTTGATTTAACATCAACATTGGTTACTATTTTCTAAGACATTAGAATAGGGAGCTGGCATTCATACAGTTTGAGGACAAAACAGTATTGTTAATACATTTCTATACTGTCTGTAAATATGTCACTATAGTCTTTCTGCACCATATCCATACTGTGAGGAAGATTATTTTCTTGCGTAGAGTTTCGAAACAGTTTGTTGTATTATATTCAAATGCCAGGTATGTAACGCAAATGAGTAAGAATGGTTTCTTTTGATTTATATATCAAAATTCCTGAGATTCATATTTATTTTTTTCCAAATTAAAACTACATGTTATTGCAATCATCGTCTTTCATCAGCAAATTTTAAGGTAGAAACATACTAATTAATAAAACTTTAAGGCTTTTTGACTTTTAACATATATTATGTGGGGTTTTGGTGTGTCTGAAATAATATAGGTTAAAATGTGTTATTTTTTGTCAGACTCAATTCTATAAATCAAAATATCACTGTAGATATGTATATGTAATTAAACATATCTAGTTTATACAAAATGTGAAAAACCCATGTGGTCGGGCAGTTCACGCCATACCTTTTTACGCCTGATCAGGGAATAAAAACCCAGATGCCTCGGTAAAGGCAATTACATTATTCCCTGCACCACCCACTGTATGCTAAATGTCTGGCCATATCAACCAGATATTACTGGTGTATTTAATATGTAACTAACTAAATGACACAAGGGCAGTTCGATACAGGACGTAAAGTCATGTAATTACCAGCTCAGCTGTATTTCTCTTGGACTATTTGTAACAGGGTTACTACAATAACAAGAAGCTAGTCCACTGCTCCCCCAGTCCAACCTGCACACTGAATTATACTATACCTCTTTTTTAAACTACTACTAGCCATTATTTAAAGCAATGCATTTTAAAGTAAGCACTTGATTATTTTTTGTTCTGAATTGTTGATTGGAAACCAGATTGAGTGTTATTTCATATTAATTATTCATATGATTTGTAATCACTTATAAGAATTTTCAAAATCTTCATGAAAATTACACACTATCAAAGGGAGGTAACTCAAACCAAAACCTTTTCAAATTTTTGTTTCTGGAAAAGCATGCAATATATATGCAATGTTGATTTCAATTCTACATTATATAGACAACTATAAAATGACTTTTAAATATCTGTAGATGTGTTAAATGACCTTTTATTTATTTGCTTTATGAAAATAAATATGTTTATTCAAAATGAAGATGTCTAATGAGGATATATATACATGCATCAGTAACGGCTGGGACCGGGGGTGAGTTGTCACCGTGAGCTACTGTCCTTGTCCAGGTAGCCACGGCTGTTGTGAAGGTCGAGCTCTTCCATATCTACAGCGTCGCGGTACTCCGTCAACTCTTTGGAGATCTTGATCCGTGTGTAGTTGGCCCCTATGGCTATCATGAAATGTATCTGTAATGCAATGATATATACAACCATTAAATATATTTATCACTTAATGTACTGTGTTATCCAGTGAATATACCCATGCCATATTTGTTTTGCATATTAACTTATGTAATATATGACCTATCAGCCCTGTGATTGGTTGTAAGTTTCAATTGTTTCAATTGTGATGTCACGCCTAGGACAAGTACATGATGTCACAAACTTACTCGCTGGAGTCAAAATGGCGGCTTGTTACATTTCAAGGTTGCATGAAAATTGTCGTTTCACGAACAAATGCCAAAAATCTAGATTATGTGATAAAAAAGATCTTACACTCGTTTTCATTTCATATGAAATTTATGGAACGTCATGAATTTTTCAATTTAGCTCGTCTATTGAAAAAATCCTAGACTCGTTTCATAAATCTGATATGAAATGGAAAGTCATGTAAGATCCTATATGTACAGGATGTTACGCTGACTCTGCTTACAAAATGTAGCTTCATTAAATGCCTGATGGCGAATTAAAAAGTAACCCGTGTTTAAAGAGATATTTGTCTATTTAAACAGGAAATATTAGTCCTTGACGATGGCGTTGAGATTACATACACAGCTGCAAAAAGCTTTTGATCAAAGTGTGATTAACAAGTGAGATTGTTCGATATATCTAACAACCATTTCTACAGTAACATTAAGGCTTTCAGTTCTTATTAGCTTTAGTATTTACAATACATGTTGTGATCGAGAGAGAGTGAATATACTTCATACATATGTATGGAAGTTTATTTGACAAATTAATGACTGAATTCTCTATTTACAGATGTTGTCCTGCAGTCTGTTTTATGATATTTCTGAATACTTCTGGTATAATAGCTTCTGAGGTATTAGAAGTGTCGGGAAAATGTTCATGAATCATAAGAAATGTTTATCAGAGGTAGATCCAGGAGGCATTATGGGGTGAACTCTCTTAGAATCCCCTACCTATCCCAGCTGCGTATTTTGACTGTTCTGTCCCCATGGAAATTGATTGTGTTTACACCCTTGCACCATGAAAAGCTAGAATTTTCATGCAACTGTGTGCACAAATGAATAAATCTTTTCTTTCTCTTTGCTTAGAGTTATATCAACAACAAATTTTTCAAATGCCAGATATGCTTATAGACTTTATTTCTATTTTCAGTGTTCAAATTATTTTCAATAGAAAGAGGTGGTAACAAAAGTTAGATTCTTCACCCAAACCCCATAATCCTCTAACATGAAACCATGGGCCCATCAATCTTGTAATGTAATTAATACAAACCAATCCCAGGACAATAAGGGCGGCTCCAGCACAGGCCACACAGAACAAGGGTCCCGCCTCGGCTACCTGTGGATACAGCGGTACACATATTAGGAGGATGTATAGGTAAGCTTTATACTTGATTTAACTCATAATTAAATAAGTGGGTAGTTCTGGAAAACCCAAGTTATCTATTTTTCATTATTAGTGTATAGTTAACAGTTATAGCCAACCATTACAGCATTTCAAAATTATGTCTACTTAATTAAGACATGGGATTTCAGTAAATGAGTACCGGGTAAAGATAAAATCTAAATTGAACAAATATTGATCATAATACTTGAAGTACCAGGCTAAACCATATATTTATCACAACGTCCGAAGTAGACAAAAAGAGCCACGACACCTTGAGTCAAACAGTGATACTGTGAATTACTTTACATAAACCTCAATGGGGGTTGATACAAAGTGTCAGGGCTAGACAATAAAATGCTTATGATTTATGCTTATGTTATAATTAATACTGTTCCTGCTTTTACCATGCATGTGCTGTCATCAAACTGATTTCTGATTATTTTTGTAGTTCAATGTATATAGTTATGCTGCACAATCCTACCTTTTCTACTAGCATGCCTTTTACCTTGTTATCACTCTGTTTTTATATCAATGTTATGCCATATACGACACTAAAAAAAGCTTCTTGTATCTTGTAATTAGGTCAGCCTGCTAGTCTATGACTACTGAAATCTAGACTAGTGGTTCTAAAAACTGCTAGCCCAATTGACTAGACAAAATTCTATATCACTTATGCTGACTAATTTTGAGTTGGTGGAACTTGCACATGGACTAATCAAATTGGAAATTACACCACCCAGACTGGCCAGCTAGTGGGGTTTAGAATTAGTTTCTACCCCTGAAGTGTTACTGTACCCATTGTTTGGTATATACTGTAGAACCATTTATTTTCGTGGGGTTAAAATTTCGTGGTTTTCATGTACTAGCCTGTTTTAAGGACATTATATTTCGCTGAGTTCTGATTTTCCCCTATCTATATCATATGATATGTGTGGATTTAATTTCGTGGATTTTTGTTATCCACGAAACAAACGAAATTTAATGTCCCACGAAAATTTGTGATTTTACAGTATATGTATTGCCTAACTAGGAGAAAAATGATCATTCCTTACAAGATAATGTCTATGAGTTTAGTGTATTTAGGGAAAACTGACAAATTCAACACAATTAGTCAGGTAGCACTTAAAAAGACCTAACAATCTTGAAACAAAGTTATCAACACTTGTAACACAAACTTGTGTTTTTCCCACAGAATTTGAACTTCTAAAAGAACACACAACAAAAATATTAAAAAAAATGAATTGTTCGTGTGGTGAAAATAAAAATTGTGATGCTATGCTATTATGACACAGAATGAAAGGGATGTGGGAGGCGAAGGATACAGCTTAACTAAACATTTGTGTAATATCCATAAACCAGACCAAAACTTGATCGGGAATCCTACTGGTCTGAAACAATAATTTATTTGAAATTCATTCTCTGCCTGATTAGGAGAGATACATACCTTGTCACACATGAGTCTGAGGTCGGTGTGAGCACACAGCTGTTCCCGGCCAGGTACTCCTATTCCTATTGCCGTTGTGGAGTTCCTATAGATACCTATAGCAAATCAAGATAACTCTTTGGTCATTTTTACTTGTATGGTAGCTAAACTGACTCAACTGTACATACATAGACTAGGAGTTTTATGTTTTTGATTTAAACATATTTTTATTTGCATCTAATATACAAAAGGGATTGGGCACAAGTTGTCCAACTTATGTAAAGCCATTTCCCTATAACATACCGGGGTAATGAAATATATATATACNGGGGGGGGGGGGGGGGGGGGGAGGGCATAGCTTGAAGATATTTAATTTGAGACCTTGGTAGTGATCTTCTCCGACACAGACTAGAGATTTATGTGTATACTGCATAAGGCACTCCTGCAGCATTAACACAGTAAAACATAATTGGCCTGTTTTACCTCATTATATATGAGTGTAAGAAGCAACGATTGCCAACACTGACATGGTATCTATATTTTGGCTTTGTTTATATTTCCTCCAATATTTGCCTGTGAAAGATAGAAATTTACCCGTGAAAAGATAAACCTGTCTTTTCCGATGGAAAGACAGTCTACATGCCGTCACAACGCAATTTTGCATGGAGTATTGACATATTGATGTTTATTTCGAGTATTGGAGAAAAAGAATCAAACAAGAATATGGTCCGTGGACAGGGAAATCTCAACCCTTAGATAAGTGATTGGCTGTCCAGCACTCAGCACAGCCTTGTGCTAGACAGCCAAACTCTTACCTGAGGATTGAGATTTCCCTGTCCACGGACCACACACATACAAGATCCTATTATTCTCCCATCCTTCACAGCTGTATCTCCCGTTTCAGCCAGGGAAGATCAGCTTGTCACCCCCTAGGGGGAGATAGCCTCATGCCGATTAGCACGTGTTCAATTGTCACATCATTAAATGTGTCACCGGTGTAATTGTGACGTCATCTAAAGTTATTGACGATATTCATACCCCACATGTGTTTTGTTTACAAACATTTCAGACTATTGTCTGTGGAGTTGTGACTGGAATGATAGGATGGGAGAAAAATAATCATGCCCTACCTTGAGGGTGTAACAGAGAAATCTCCTATCCACGGGGTGTTTTTAGTTGGTTGTCTAACCCTCGGCAGAGCTTTGGGTAAGACAACCAAAAAAATCACCCCTCGGGTAGGAGATTTCTCTGTCACACCCTCAAGGTAGGGGAAGATTCTATATATCTCTCACCTTTCTGTTGTTTCGGTGATGTCTTCCAAGGCACAAAATCATATATGCTGGGAATTATCATACAAGAGTTTAAAAGGAAAATATGCAATCTTGTGTCACAAATTGTAGATATTTTATTAACTTTCACACGTTTAACCCGTTTTTTATTTAACATTAGTATCACATACCGCTCAAACCATGAATATTGTAAAACTGGGCAGTCCCACACTACACAACGAATATGGCATGCTATTGTAATTAATGTTACTCACCAAATCGTGTGAGGCTGAAGCATTCCACAGTGGTGGTACCCACAACTCTATTGTAGACTTTCTCATAGCAGTAGGAGTTGATCATGATGTAGCCGAGAATAGGAATCACACATGCGCCCACAATACCTAACCAGGCCAGGTTCATCAGGTAAGTCATGATCAGGAACTGTCAATCAAAAGTGGTATACAGGTATAAAAAACAGGATCTACAGGGTACATTCTAAATTGAAAACCTTCTGGAATGTTTGATTTCTGCATGTTTTCTTGTTTGTCAAAATGGACCTGCACTGTGTTGCCTAGACAACATGGAGACGCACCATAAAAAAAGAATTGAAAGAGATGGGTCTTTCAGGGGTCGAGGCACAACACGCTGCCAATGCAATGACAGACACAAATGGAGACGCATTGTTGATGCCTTATGTCCAATACGGGACAAAGAGGATTAAGTAAGTAAGTATGGTCATATTTTGCCTCTATAAATCAAGGCCAAGAATTTGTTTTACAAATGTTTGACAATGTTTCTATTTATGAGTTATCCTGGTCGCATCCAACACCGTGACCTTTGTGTGGACATCCTGAAGGTGATGTTTTTGATTACCAAGCTATGTAGCGTATTTTTGTTTCTGATTTTTATAGTGAACAGTAAATTATTGATGATGATTTGCATCTTCACTGTTTTCATACGACCCTAACTGTTACAAGGACATTAAACCCCAAACAAACAAAACTTCCATCTTCATTTTCTTTGCTTAAATGCAGTCGTTTTATTACATAGAACAGTTGTAATATGGTTCTTCACGATATAATTTATTTGATCAGATCATTTTATGGGTTTTTCTAAACACTTTTTCACTTCAGATTTTGCAACATGAAAAACTTAAAAGATTGGCAAGTAAAACTTTTAGAAATGGCAAAAAAGCTAAATTCAGAAAAACATTTTATCTTAACAGAAAGCAGTTCAGCACCAGGCCAAAGGATTTAATAAACGAGAAAAAGTCTGTAGACTCCAAGTCCAAATTTGAAATGTTGATAAAATGAAAATGTCTTGAAAATGAAATCAGTCAAAATTTGTCAGAAAAGATAATATTTAAGTATACACGTGTATATGTATATTAACTCATGCAATTTTGATACCGAAACAAAAGATTACCATATTCTTTGCACTTATAATTGATTTATTTTTTTCCTGGACCTGGAGCCAGGACTTTTTATATTTACATGTAAGTAATGCTTGAGAGGATGTACTATTTCAGCCTAATAATAATTTGAAGTTCTTACGATATACCGCTTTATCACAACCTAGTTTGTAGGTTGTCTCAAAGTGGTTCACAATTTATTAACCAGCAAATATCTTTCTCAACTCCATGGGGAGCATACAGCCGGTGCTGCCATTTAGGCGCTCACAGCTAGTGTTATTGTAGGTCGTCTCAAAGCAGTCGACAAATTATTATTCGTGGATGTAGGGCCTTTTGCAACCAGCAAATATCTTTCTCAACTCCCTGGGGAGCATACAGCCTGTGCTGCCATTTTGGTGCTCACAGCTAGCATTCAACAATTGTAGCAGTGCCCCACCATGTACTTATTTACAGCTGAGTAGACTGGAACATGCGGATTAAAGTACATCTTGCTCAAAGACAGTGCTGTGTCGCAACTCGAACCTGCAACCGGTTTCGGTCACGAGCACAGCGTCTTACTACTAGACAGCCGCGCCTCCTACCAGGTTCAACATATTTCAGCAAAAAGTTTTTGAAATGTACGGCAAACTTACAAAGGCAGCAGACACTCTGCCTCCCATAATACATCTGGCCCCAGAGTACACGTTCTTCCTCGTTGCTCCAGTCGACAGGTAACCAAACACCAGTAGGATAATAGCAAACAATCCCATAATCACAGCCACGATCACGAATACTATCTTTATCACCTCCAACCTGTAAAGAATAATAATCAATACATGCACTTTATTTTCTAAGGGTGTCATGTTTAGCTAAGATAATCTTAAATCCTTATAAACCTCATTCACAGATTTTTAGAATACATGCATATAGTTCATATATATATATATATATATAGTGTCATAGATCGATCCCTATACAACTACCATTTCTTAAAAGATAACCATATGTTTCAAGACTTTGATGATAAAATAACTAGGAGTAAATAAACAAAATATAATCAACAACAGTTTTCTGAGTGTAAAACCTCGATCAGCAGGGATATAATGGGATTTTAACACTGCACTAATTCAGATAACATGTATAGGTAATTTAAAGCCCATATAATACCTGTACATGTATACTGTAGTAATGGGACTCAACAAAATTTGAAAAGAGATATTCATGCAGGTCTGAAAAGTATCTTAACCCTTTCACCATCGTGGACCATAATGGACTCATCCCAATAAATGCATGGCAGAGTCTACCAAGGTTCCCTAGGGGTGAAATGTTTAAAAATTTTCGAACTTTGTCTAATGGAACTTTCACAATTATATCAAATGGGAATTCACATAATGTATAAGGAACACTTAGAAATATATATTTAGAATTCAACAAAATCTATTATTCACCAAGGAACGTTGAACTGAAATAGTTCGTCCAGAATGTTAGTGATGACCAATGTCAAGGCCCGGTACAACGCCCCACAGAACACTCCCACGCCAGTAAATGTTATCATTGTCGCAATCAGCGAGGCAAACGGCACATTCCCTATTCTTTCGCACCCTGAAAATGAAAAAATAAACAATTTTATAAATTTATCAATGCTCAAATCGATGTAACCTGCCTGATCCAACACCATATTGGACACAACATAATGGTCTGATTAAACTGTCCTATCTGACCCGTGTGGGATATGTATTAATTATCTCCGCTTAATTGAGTTTCTCCCCCGCCCAGAGTCATATATTAGGTGTGAGACTTGTGATAATTGTACATTGTGTGGATCAATGAAAAAAACCACCCAACATAGTTTCAAGAACAATGACGTTTTCTCTAAAATAGATGCAACTGCAAAGTGAACAGTCAAGACAATGCCTTTATTGTTTAGAAATGACAACATGTACGTGTTGTTCACTTTTTTATAACAAGGTGACCTGGAGATTTTCATTTGAGCTACTATGATTTATAAAACAAAAAATAGACACATGATATACGTGCAGCTATTGTGTAAGAATGTATTGGTTGTACATTCATTGTACGTACAATGCACATATGCAGGCTGATATATGCACCTGGACACAGACATGTACATGGATGATCATGGAGAATAATTAGCATTTTGTAATCAGTAAATACAGTCGATCATATTTCATACGTCTGTAAACTAGGAATTATTTCGGATAAGTAGGTAATCGATATAATTATTATATGCTTGACATGTTTGTAATGATGACTAACACGGTTGTCTGTTGTTTGTATACAAATAACGGTTATTCACCTTTACGCTTTACACCTGTATCATACTGTTATGTACAGTCTAAAGGAAAGTCACCAATCAGATATCAGATATACCTCTTCCTTTCAGATGATATAAATTCATGCAAAAATACTTACCCATTTTGTTCAGGTGTGGCTTGCACAGACAGGTAACTAATTAGGAATTTTACCTATCTCAGGTATCACTGATTCACCTCACTAGCACTTCCTGTTTTCAGGTGGCGCTGCAGTCGCTTGTTGACAGGTGCGTCGGTATCTACGTCTTTGGGACGCTTTAGATAAAAACAAAACCAAAATTTACCTATTTTGGAGAGAGACTCACGTTTTTGTACCCTAAAATTGAGCATTTTTAATCTGGACTGTATGTCATTTAATGTTTTTTCTTTAGGGGTATATACACATATTTCATCATATTTTTTAAATGTTGAGCACGTGAAATCTCCCCCATGGAGATTAAAAGTTAGCAAGTATTTTAACATATAGGCACATCGCTATATGAACTATATGAACTAAGTATGATCAGGGATGTGACTACACATCCCTGGTATGATATAGCACGGAATTAGATTAGTCCGTGGATATAGTATATCAAAATTTTGTTCCGGAAAATTATAAATACGTAATTGGCAACTACGTTTCATCAGAGACGTATAATAGGTCTCTGGTTTCATGAGGATTTTAATTAAATTTGGGACATTTTCTTTTGCTTTATTCTGTTAGTTTTGCAAATTAATTCGTTAGATATGGTTTAAAAATATCCCTGATTAAATGATATATTAATTAATAGGATTTATCATCACAGATAATTGGACTTTTCTATGATATCTATAATTGAATTTAATTGGAGATGTCTTCAACAATATATCTTTAATTGAATTGGATATATCTTTAGTTCTTTTCACATATCTTCAATTAGGCATGCTCAAATAAAGATGGGTATAACTCAATTGAAGATTCAACTGATTCGAATATATATATATATTTACTTTCAATTGCATCGTCAATTGTATTGAACCCATCCTTTCACAGTTCAATAACAATTTTCTAAAATTCAATTGAATATAGTTGAATCTTCAATGGAATTAGGAACATCATTTGTATTAATTGTGAACATTTCCTCAATTACTTAAAAATAGGTGGATTTATTTTAATATGATTATGTTAATTTGTAGTTCGATGGTTTTCAAGTGCGTACATGTACAGTGTACGTGGTAAAGTTACAACATGTCTGTCTTTGATAGGTCAACGGTATAAGTTGAAAGCCCTACACCAGGCCCTCGTCGTTACTTACAAAAGTATATCATTACCATCACTATTCCCAACTTCAAAAGTGATATCGTATGCTTTTAAAATGAACCGTATGGAATTCATTTTTATCGTAACCACTGTACTGTGTACAAACACTTGTGAAACTGAAAGTAGGGCATGCGTTCCACATGTTTTGTGATAGCCGTACTTTCGTACTATATTTATAGGTCCTACTTGAGACCCATTTGAGTTAGTGACAGGGGAATCTATAACGCACTGCAAGACGTTACAGTCAAGTACATGTAAGACATCGCATTGACAACAGGTGTCTTTGATTACTTTAAGCAATATCCGTCACGAAGACAACAACTATCGTATGTGAGTTAATATGCATGGTGAACATATCTAATGTTTGTTTGTACGAGTTTCTGACCTGTGACCTCTCGTTATCAGTCGAGCTTCATCAGACTATCTTCACGTACCTGTGTCACTCTGTATATTCCAGCAAGGACACGACCTCTATATCATCATGTCAGCCCGTCCCCGAGTCCTGATCTCCCGATCAGCCCCTCCCGCGGGCATAGACCCCATTAAGGCAGTTTGTGACGTATGGATCTGGCCCGGGGAGGATCCTATCCCCGCGGAGGAGTTTGAGAAGCAGGCGGCCGGGGTAACCGCCATATTCTGTCACCCACCGGACAAAATTGACAAGGACTTACTTGATGCTGCCGGTTTGTATACCTTTGACATGAGAAACTCCCCATAAAAATCCACATGTGAAAAGCTCGAAAATACTTTCAGAATATATACAACTTTATTAACCAGATCACAGGCCTGTGCGAGCAATAGCAACACTTTACAAACGTAATCAGGTATCGTTGATATTACGAACATTTACATACGTATTTATGTAATAAGGACATGCCACCGGCCGCACAGTTTATTCATGTGGTGCAATTTTTACATGTATTCATCAATATTAATAGCATGTTTTCGTTAGGACCTAATGTACATGAGAATGTGTTACAGTTATTATGTTTGGGCCTATCCTAATGTGAAGAGAGTAATATTTTTACTTTTAGGGGGTTAGGGGGTCCCCAGGGACCTGATAATTTGTAAAACTATATTTGGACCTAAACTAAGCAGTGGCGTAGCAAATAATTTTTCGGAGTGTATGCTTACAGAGCGTCAGAGACACGCAGAGCCGGAGGAGGGCGGTGGGTATGGGAGGGACCATAGCTGACAAAATTCTACTAGGTGCTTGAAGCAATCTCCCGTGTTCTGTGAACTCCTTTTAGACTGATTATTAACAAGTAAAACCTTTTTATATGAATATTTGTTTTGTACTTCACTAACTTGTTTTAGATATGTATATAGGCATAACAGATATTAATAAAAAATATGTGATTAAAAAAATCTTGAAATTTTTAGTGTATGCATGAGCATACAAGCATCCATGTATGCTACGTCACTACTGAGGTGGTTAGGGTAATTGTACACGTTTAGGGCTTTAGGCCACCCCAATTGATATGATGGTGTATATCATGTATTGACGGTGGCCTTCGTCCATATGTCGCATTATTCTTCCAAAGAACTGAAAGTTCTGTTGTCCTGACATTTGGCTCGAAGATTCCTGGAATTGAGCCCGATTTTTTTTTTGCGAAATAAAGTGGCCTTGATCTGCTACCTAGGTCATAACATGGGAACATTTTACATCCACACAAATGCATTCGTGCTACCAAGATTGGCGCGGGTCCAGCCCGTCCACTGGAAGCTTACTTTCTTGACCACAACATAGAAATATCGGAGATCCCCACCCCCATAACCAGATACACAATTGCTAGCCATAATGATATTAATACCCTCATGCTACTAGGATTGGCTCTGAGGTCCTGCATCACCTCTGGATACTTACTCCGTAAATCATTACATGGAGGAGTTAAGATCCCCACTCCATAACAATATTTCAAATTGGTTGGCATGAAAAAAACAAGTACATTCATGTCTTAACTGTCTTTCCTGCCCCATGGATATGCATTTCTTACAGCTTATATTTCTTGCACTCTTTGATAAAAATGTATGGTATTCAACAGCTTTTAATATAAAACAAAATAAAATCTAAATGAAATAATAAGGCCCCTGGGTCGTTTGTTTTTCTAAATCATATATCATTTCGATGTTTTAAAGTCAGACTGCTTCTTTGGTTAAGGTTGCACACGCTCTTTAAGATGTACATCGCGTTTTACGTTCTACAGTCTTTTGGATGTCCATACATTGCTAGGAGGATGTAGCCGTGGACACACTGTCTGGTCACATGTCCTATATTGTTGTTTACAGGTCCGAGTCTAAAGGTGGTTGGAACCATGTCTGTGGGACTAGACCACATTGACCTTGACGAGTGTCGGCGTCGTGGTGTCAAGGTCGGCAATACACCTGACGTGCTAACCAACGCTGTGGCCGAGCTAACTATAGCTCTGCTCCTGTCATCGGCTCGCAGACTTAAGGAAGGTAGGTTTGTCTAGAGTCTACGTCACGCCGACTCAAGAAAGCTTAGTATTATATTTCTTGACCATAAAGGCATGACAGTTACAACACAATATTCGGTATTGCCTAACTGGACACTGGCTTCGAACAAAGGGGTACATGTAATACGTTGGAGAGTCACACCCGATGGTTGATATTTCTCTTGCATCAACTCAGCTTAGGGTATGCTTCCTTCTTCCACATTATTCCAAATACCAGTTTTGAAAACAACGGTTTTCTGCATTTATGATAGAGATTTCATCATGATACACACAACCTCTTCCGTCGGAAGGTATCACTGGCTACCCAGGGAAGACCGCTCACATGCTTAATCGGGAATATTTTCTCGTTTACGGAAAGTGCCGACGGTTCCCGATTGCTCCTATGCGCTATTGTCACTATCGCTTTATCACTTTGCTGTACAGACAGCGAGGGCATCATACATCCACTGATTTCGAAGACTATTTCCAAATTATAACAAGGATTCTTTGTAACTTTTCTTCTAGTTTCGGTATGCATTTAGTTTCAACCTTTGTTATTTCAACATTCTGGTCTCTTTTGAGTCCAGAATCGTAGGCCATCCAGCTAGAGTACTTAACTGGTATAAATCGAGAAAAACTTGCTTCGTAATCGTCTAACATAACTAACTTTATATTTTATTGACGATGGTATTTAATTAATCCAATACATGTATTGCATGCCACTGTAATAAGTGCAATACGTACTCTTCTTTTGCTACACACAGGATACGCCTGTACGCTAAGTGGAGAAAAATCCTGGGAACATGCCACGTTTCTCTGTGGTCACGAGGTTTCCGGATCCACCATTGGCATTGTGGGGTTGGGACGCATCGGTATGGCGGTTGCTAGGCGGCTCAAGTCCTTCAGTGTTGCTAAGTTCCTGTATACCGGAAATAGCCAGAAGCCTTGTGCGTCAGAGGTGAATGCAGAATTTGTGTCGTTCGACAAACTTCTCGAGAACTCTGATTTTGTAATAGCATGCTGTTCTATAAATCAGAACAACAAAGGCCTCTTCAACAAAACTGCATTTAAAAAGATGAAGAAGTCGGCCATCTTCATCAACGTTACGCGAGGAGTATTGGTCAATCAGGATGACTTAATTGAGGCCTTGACCACCGGTGAGATATATGGGGCCGCACTTGATGTCACCACACCGGAGCCACTTCCAACGGGCAATCCACTACACTCTTTGAAGAACTGCGTCATGACACCACACATCGGTAGCGCCACCTTGAATGCCAGAAATGGAATGGCCAGTCTCACAGCCAGAAACATTTTGGCGGGAATAAATGGGGAAGATCTCCCTTCGCCTGTCCCGTGATGTTTATTTCTATGAAGATAAAACTTTGTCTACAAATATATTTTGTAATTTTAAAACTAGGTTGAGAAAATGATCTTTGTGTATTGAGATAAAATATATAATTACGGACAGAATGACTAGAAATGAATACAACAAGAAATGTATGGATTGCTTTAGATAAACAGAGTAGATTTAGATTTATCAAACATTTTATGGCTGTCTTTATGTTGTATTATGATCGATTATACATGTAGTCTCTGTTTCGTTTTATATTTGTTACTCGATCTGAGCTGAATTAATTCTATTAAATTTTAGTTTGGTTGTTGTGTTGGTATGGAGACTATCAACCTCTTTTAAACAACCGACATTTTTGAATTGAGAAATCTACATTATTATATTAAGCGGTTTAATTTAGATGATTGTACGAAAAATGGATCATTTCATACAAATGCGCATTTTTAAAAACAAAAGACGAAAACCGCAATTGTTTTAGATTTCCTGTGGGGACATTTAAAGTATTTTAAGCGTTGCTATGTAAAGTAAAAAAATACAAATGTAACTCGCACCAACCATCCAGTAAATATATAAATAAAAGCTGACACATCTTAATATGTTTTGTGTTTAATCTGTAAACCATTACAAATCATCGTTCGGGAAAATTATTTTGATAATTTGAAAAAAAAACCCCGATACACACATTAAGACAGTTTGAAACAACGCAATGAAATCGATAAAAAGTATTATATATTGAATGAAATGTGATTAAATACATTTTGAATCAAAATGTAATAAATTACCCATTCCTATTGGAGGAAATGACCTGTCATTTGAAATTTGTCATTACCGGATGAACAATGTTCTCAATACGTACTATGAAAAGTTCTTTTTACACAACCAATAAGAGTTTTTATGTGACGTTTCGATGACTAGTACGGTATGTCCACTGTCATCTCCATCAGACAAAGGACCAGTGAAAGCGTACGCACACAAAGGTGTAAAATGTGTACGAGTTGTCCACAAAATCGATATCGATTCTTCTATGCTGTAAGCGTATATACAATAACTGTTATATATGTACGGACTTGATTCAGCTACGCTTTGTTAAATACTTGGTCATAGATGTGCGAGTCTATATATGAGCCCCCTCATCTCGATTTAGAACTGGCCCACTGCGGCGTTTCTAGAATTGACAAACACGGCATACAAAACTTTCTTGGAGCTTTCAATACGTCTTGCAATCACTTGCCTTTCTTGATTTCTCGATAACCATTGCTTGTTATTAATGCGTCAAAGTAAAAGACCCGGGTTTCATCCCCTGTAAGTAGCTCAGATCACTTACCTGAGTTGCAATTATTGTACCTTTTCAAAATATATTTTGTACATCTCAAACGTTCGGCCTTTTTTTAAGATGTCGGCAAATAGGGGATCCGTCGGACACAAAGCTTCTTTAATTAATTTCAAGCAATTAGTCAGAATGTGATGTGTACTGCCTTCTGAAATGCCAACCATTCAAACGTGAATAACCTGTTCAATTCCTGTCGGATGATATCGAAATTGTTCACGTACATAGTTCTTTTAATGGTTTTGCAGTCTGGTAAGGCGATAGACTGTTTTATTGCGCGTAGGAACGGGGGTTGTGTCGTAACAGAATTTATTGAATTTGCCTCATGGACCCAAGCAAATACTAAAAATTATAGGAACTTAATGTTGGTTCAAGGGGTTTCGGTACAGTAGGCTTATTACTATTCCCATCAGTTGTAATGATCTGTTTATGGTTCTTTACATACTTGGTAAAATATGTAACGATTTGTGAAGCTAAAACACATAGCAAATACATAAAACTAGACTTTTGATAAATATCGCGATACAGTTATATTGGAATACGTTCGATATGCCCGTGTATTGCAATATACCAGAGATCGATTAATTTAGCAATTTGACGAGCCAATCAGTGTTAGGGTTATACAAGTACACGGCAAAGTATACAAAGGTACCATAAACCAAATTTGAAAAATCATGATATATCAGAAAATATCATCGAATTGAAGAAAAAATATTTCTGTCGATCCATACCGATCTTACATGTAGCATGGTAGTATTTATAGGGGTTATGACACATATGCATGGCCGTACAGGGTCATTTTACTAGGGCTACGGAGTTATCAACCTCGTTATTATTGATGTACTAACAGACGGGGCCACAACCTTTGGAACCACTTATGCATCTTCAGCAGATCTGCAAATCGATTAAGTACATTTAAGTTATAGGTGTAGTCACTGTGTTTCTGTACTGTGCTCTCTCGATATCATTCGGGTCACTTCATACTTGGTCACTCTGTAAACTTCAGCAAGTAGCTGGCCTCCGGATCATCATGTCAGCCCGTCCCCGAGTCCTGATCTCCCGATCAGCCCCTCCTTCCGCGGGGATAGACCCTATAAAGGCAGTATGTGACGTATGGATCTGGCCCGGGGATGATCCTATCCCGGCGGAGGAGTTTAGGAAGCGGGCGGCCGGGGTAACCGCCATATTCTGTCAATCATCCGATAGAATTAACAAGGACTTACTGGATGCTGCAGGTTAGTATATAGAATCAATATCAAAAACTTTAACCTGCGAACCATACAAATGTCAAAATTACAAATAAGAACGGAAACTTGGATTCAATCACAGGGGTTCTTACAATCATCTGAAATACACATATGCTATACTGATATGGGTCACACCATACATGATGTATCAGTATAGCATATTTGTATTTCAGACACACATATGTGCTGTGATCCATATCGGTATAGCATATATGTGCATTTCAGACATTTGTAACGAACCCCTGGGTATTAAGGTAAGATCCCCCCCCCCCCCCCCACAAAGTTACATAAGGTTTGCACACGGTCAAGGTGCAGTTATTTATAGATGTGATACACATTTTTATGACATGATGTTGGAGGCGTAGCGTCTTCTAGTTATTACCCTATTGGCTTAATAACCCGCTACGCAATAGAGTCTTTTACAATTGCTTAAAAAATATAGGCTTCAATTTTTGTAGTTAATTATTAACCTTTTCACCCCTATGCAACTTAAGTAAACTCTACCATACATTGATTTGGATGAGTCCATTAGGGTCTACAGTGGTGAAAGGGTTAATGTTTGTTCATCCTGTTGTCAATGTTTTGTTCTTTTTTCTTTTGTACTGAATCGGCATGCTTGATATGTGCTCATAAAATTGATAATGACACCATATTTATATAGTTTCAGTTTCAACTCCTCAATTCCTCAGATTAAGTGCCAATCAAATAAGGCAGTTCTCTCGCTTTGTTACTGCCATCTTGTACATTTACATATGGTTCTAATATGAAAAATTTGTTAATTATGACACCAGGGCGATATTTCTTATCTATACTACTACATGTACATATTGAAGCTCAACACTTTAGTGGGAAAAAGTATAACATGTAATTTAACTTTTTAACATAAAATAATGTCTATCTTTGTTTTAAGATTCACACTTAATAAATACTTTGCTTCAATCTTTACATATATGGAAAGAAAACAATGTTTTTTTTCTCTGCTATTTACACTATAAGACAAAGAGGCAGGTATACATTATATGTCAATCTGTGACTGATGGATTTTAGATTTTGTTTTTTTAACTATCATGACAGTAATCTTGTCAATTAATCAATCTATCCTATAACGCACATTTACCGTAAAAATACACAAACGTTCGGGTTCTACTGATTTCCAACATGATTTCAATGATATAAAGCGTAATGGTTATTTTTTAGTATCATTGAGGATGGTGTCATTCAAAGGCGAGAGGCTTCTAGATTATAAAGAAAATTTGGGCATTTGTACTTTTAGATTATCCGTGATATTTCCCGTCTCTGGGTGATATTTAGATGCGTATCTTCGAGCGACGAACTGTGTATATAACCGTCCTTGTCCGGATCTGTCGGTGATGAATAACGACTGGTTATTTCTTTCCGGTTTGTAGTGCAGTGCATTCTTTGTGCGTATTTTCCGTTTTCTCCACGAAAACACACTTTGATAAATCCTCTAGAAGCGTCAAATGATTTGACGTTATGTATTTGGTGTTTGCTTCCTCACCCTTGCTTCGGGGATAATTTTGCCCGCTCTGTCTTCTGTATTTGATATTGTGTTCAATGGTTCATCAGCAAGCTCATCCTGGAGTGTTTTATGATTTTTGTATTTACGGAAGATGTCTTCCGTTTCAGTTTTAGACTGATATGCACATTGAAAGTTGACGTAGGTTGAATAGCAGTCAGATGTGTTCAGATGTCGTTTTAGTTTTATCAACTTATGTGTACAAATGTACCGTTGGCATTGGTGAATGTTCATGGAATTAACTACAGTTGAGCACAGGTGATACCGTCTCATATGGCTGTATACATTATTTACTCTGTCGGTGTATCATCTTCTGTGAGTTCTGTATATGTGTATTGTTTGCGTTGATGCTGTCACAGTTCTGGTTTCCTGCCCGGACTGTGTTACGCAAGTCCGAATATAACATCTTGGCGGCCGTCTTTTACACCGGAGGTGCACTGTAAATGCACGTCGCTTGGACGACATTATAAACGATACCTTCGGAGTATCCTCGTAACCATCCTCGTCAGAAATGAATGGTCAAACTCTTATATTTTTTTGACAGATATTTGAGTTTTCTCCTTTGATTATCAGTCGAGTTACAGCGAAATCCTCGTTGGACCTGTGTCAGTGTCTGTAGAAAACAAACAGCAGTCTCACGCCTTCATTTGATGATGTCAGCCCGTCCACGAGTTCTGATATCCCGATCAGCCCTTCCCGCGGGCATAGAGCCCATTAAGGCAGTTTGTGACGTATGGATTTGGCCCGGGGATGATCCTATCCCGGCGGAGGAGTTTATGAAGCGGGCGGCCGGGGTAACCGCCATTTTGTGTCAATCATCTGACATAATTAACAAGGACTTACTTGATGCTGCAGGTTAGTATATAGGGTCAATATATAAACGTTTTTCCTGACAAACACTTAACATAACAAATGACAAAAATATTCATAGTAACAATGCAATCCTATTTGCTACATCAACTGTATGTTTTCCTTACTGTACTGCACGTTACATGACGTATGAACATAGTCCAGGCGGAGCTACATGGATATGCGTTTAACAATTTTTGGACATGAGGCGTAACGTCTCTTTGTTATTAACCTGCAGAAAGTGTTTGGTTGTTGGAATGAAAGAATCAAAGAAGGGACGTCCATTTTATTTAACCTCTACTCAATATAGTCTTTTAAAAATTCATATTGATATACAGACTTTAACATATGTGGTTATTTGTAAATGTTTGTTGTTCGTGTTGTTAATATTGATTAAGTTTTATTTTATTAATACTGAATTTGTATGCTCGAATGTATATTTAATGGAGGGGCGAAGCTTATATGATCTACATTTATACGTTTGATATCATTATTACACCAGCATAGCCATTTTACATATGTTTCACCACAGGTACATGGTAACCACTTAAGTATACATATATGTTCCTTCATATACATTATTTGTGTAGCATGTAACATGTCCCTGTGTATTCCACAACTAGTAAACATGTTTATCATGCTTTTCTAACTCTCATAGCCGGGGAAAGCACGATCCAACGTCCGCTAAGCAGATTCGTCATTGTACAAATTTAGTATAGTGTAGTCAGCCGAAGTAAACCTCAGATTATCGTTGCTGATATACTCGAATCGATGATATCGTGAATTTATCGACTAAATAAGTTAAGAAAATCTCGTTGGTTAGAGTTGAAAACGAAAATGAACTTAAGAGAATATTTCTGTGTATTCTATTCCCAAGTTTATTAACGAGAGATTGACAAAGTAAATAAATGTATTGCCGTATAATGGACAACTAAGAAAATGATGAACAGGGACAATTGCCCGATACAAAATGATTTTATGAACTTGTAATGATAAATTTGGTTATTTCTGTTTATATTGTTCATCAAGCTGTAAGAATAATTTTAGTATAGAGGAAGTATTTCATTTGCTGCACTACGAAGTACGGTCTTCGACCTATTTAATCAAACTATTTTGCCTTCAATAATTTAAAAAAAATGTTCACATATCAATATGAAGATTCGCTGAAAACCATTCTGTTTACAGGTTTATCGATATGCTGTCGTTCATTGCTAGTTTGTCTTTGATATTGTAATGTTGTTGTTATTTTGTCGTGTTGACATTTCTTATTTTCAATTTTCTGATTCAACAACAGTGTTCATTCGTTGTTATTTGTCGTCGTAAGTTGGCCCTTGTTAATGTTTTTTGTGATTCCATCTTTTCTCGTTACCAATGCCTTAATGTAAAACGTTCTGCCAAAGTTTTGTTTAGATGTATGTCAAGTTTGCACTTCCTATAATTCCTTCAATCAAATACGTCTGGACGTTGCGCATGCAAATGTTACCGTGGACAAACTGTCTGGTCACATGTCCTATATATTGCTGCTTACAGGCCCGAGTCTAAAGGTGGTTGGAACTATGTCAGTCGGACTAGAACACATTGACCTTGACGAGTGTCAGCGTCGTGGTATCAAGGTTGGCCACTGCCCTAATGTGCCTAATGATGCTGTGGCCGAGCTAACCATAGCTCTGCTCCTGTCAGCGGCACGCGGACTCAAAGAAGGTAGGTTTGTCTAAAGTCTGCATCATACCGAATCGATGAAAAATGTTGTCTCCTTTACATTGACTCAATAAAATAAATTTTACCTGACTTCGCAAAAGTGTCGTTATGAAAGTAGACTTGTTTACGTCACATCGCCTAACGAAAGGTAGGACCGACTACGTCCCATTAAACAACTCGTATTTTTATAAGATAGGTATGTCTATGTCATAGCAAATAAAAGAAAGTAAGATTGCCACACCATCACAAGGAGTCAAGTTCTGACATATCACACCAACTCAAGGAAGGTAGGTCTGACTAAGTCCCATCAAACAACTCGTATTTATATGTGTGTCATAGCAAATCGTAGAAAGTAAGATTGCCACACCATCACAAGGAGTCAAGATCTGACATATCACCCCAACTCAAGGAAGGCAGGTCTGACTACGTCCCATCAAACAACTCGTATTTATATGTGTGTCATAGCAAATCGAAGAAAGTAAGATTGCCACACCATCACAAGGCGCCAAGCTCTGACATATCACGCCAACTCAAGGAAGGCAGGTCTGACTACGTCCCATCAAACAACTCTTATTTTTATAAGTTAGGTATGTCTGTCATAGCAAATCGAAGAAAGTAAGATTGCCACACCATCACAAGGAGTCAAGATATGACATGTCACACCAACTCAAGGAAGGCAGGTCTGACTACGTCCCATTAAACAACTCGTATTTTTATAAGATAGGTATGTCTATGTCATAGCAAATCAAAGAAAGTAAGATTGCCACACCATCACAAGGAGTCAATATCTGACATATCACACCAACTCAAGGAAGGTAGGTCTGACTACGTCCCATCAAACCACTCGTATTTTTATAAGATAGGTATGTCTATGTCATAGCAAATCAAAGAAAGTAAGATTGCCACACCATCACAAGGAGTCAAGATCTGACATATCACGCCAACTCAAGGAAGGCAGGTCTGAATACGTCCCATCAAACAACTCGTATTTTTATAAGATAAGTATGTCTATGTCATAGCAAAATCAAAGAAAGTAAGATTGCCACACCATCACAAGGAGTCAAGATCTGTCATATCACACCAACTCAAGGAAGGTAGGTCTGACTACGTCCCATCATACAACTCGTGTTTATATGTGTGTCATAGCAAATCGAAGAAAGCAAGATTGCCACACCATCACAAGGAGTCAATATCTGACATATCACACCAACTCAAGGAAGGTTGGTCTGACTACGTCCATTCAAACAACTCGTATTTATATGTGTGTCATAGCAAATCGAAGAAAGTAAGAATGCCACACCATCACAAGGAGTCAAGATATGACATGTCACACCAACTCAAGGAAGGCAGGTCTGACTACGTCCCATCAAACAACTCGTATTTTTATAAGATAGGTATGTCTATGTCATAGCAAATAAAAGAAAGTAAGATTGCCACACCATCACAAGGAGTCAATATCTGACATATCACACCAACTCAAGGAAGGTAGGTCTGACTACGTCCCATCATACAACTCGTGTTTATATGTGTGTCATAGCAAATCGAAGAAAGTAAGATTGCCACACCATCACAAGGAGTCAAGATATGACATGTCACACCAACTCAAGGAAGGCAGGTCTGACTACGTCACACAAACCTATTAATGATGACTATATCGACGGCATAGCAACTCAACGGAAGAACGTATGTCTGCGTCTAACAAACTGAATGAATGTAGAGCTGTATAAATAAATGCCAAACAAATTCATAATTCATCTTGATAATATGAAGGTGGCTGATTCCCTAGAGGATAGTGATGATGATTCCAATGCAATCTTTTGGGATAATGGGATCCTCAAAAGGAAATGGAGATCGTTTGATCCCGTGCGCTCTGGTGTCCAGGTTATTTTCAACAGATACATATACACCATACACCATTACGAGTACAATACCTTTATTGTTTGGATGTAAGACTTTATGTTTCTATTTCACTTCGGTCTCCACAATTGTTGATGAAATATGTTATTCAAATCTAGTATGTCTGATGTATCTCTATTATTACGATGTCAAGGGATTTTACATGAAGTTATTAGGTTTTTATTTACGAGTTTAGATATTTATTTCGCTTATATCGGAAGTTTAAGCACCTGGCCGCAAATATCGCTGATGCCATTAGATTAATCGATACATGTAAATTTGGTTTAAGTTTTGTATTTGTTTATTTACTACTCACAGGGTACGCCTGCACCAGTCGGGAAGAAACTCGGGAAAATGCCTTGTTTCTCTGTGGTCACGAGGTTGCCGGATCCACAGTTGGTATCGTAGGGCTAGGTCGCATCGGTATGGCGGTTGCTAGGCGACTGAACTCCTTCAATGTTACTAAGTTCCTGTATACCGGAAATAGTCAGAAGTCTTTTGCAGAAGAAGTTAAAGCAGAATTCGTGTCATTCGACAAACTTCTGGAAGACTCTGATTTTGTAATAGCATGCTGTTCTATCAATCCAAACAACGAAGGTCTCTTCAACAAAACCGCATTCAAAAAGATGAAGAAGTCGGCTATCTTTGTCAACGTTTCACGAGGAGTACTGGTCAATCAAGAAGACCTAATTGAGGCTTTGACCACTGGTGAAATATATGGGGCTGGGCTTGACGTCACCGTACCCGAACCACTTCCGCCGGACAGTCCTCTACGCTCCCTAAATAACTGCCTGGTGACCCCTCATCTCGGTAGCTCCAGCTTGAAGGCCGCAAACGCAATGGTCAGTCTTACAGTAAGGAACATTTTGGCGGGAATTAGAGGCGAAAATCTCCCGGGTGCTGTCCGGTAACATTGATTTCTATGATAACGTACACAAACGTTGACTTCAAAATTATTGTTTATTTTCAAACTTGATTATTTTATGTTAAAATGAATATACAGCTACATCATAGTTAAGGAAATTGAGAGTATTTACCAATGATATGTTTATATTCAGCAATAAATGTATACATATATAGACGGAGATGTCATCTAGTGACGATTGGTTTTTGTTATGATTAATAGGATGGTTTCCGTAAACATTCTGCTAGCCGCAGACTGTAGAATGCTGTCTAGAATGTTTGTCATCATTATAACTTAAAACTTTTAATGCCTTCAGCTTCAATCGCAAAGTTCAATTTCATATGAGCTTTTTTGAAACGAATGCTATACAGGTTCATTTAAGCGAGCCTTTGTTGAGCTAACGAAAAACAAATGTATGAAGTAAACGAATGTTAGAGTCAGCTTTTCGCAGAACCAGCGTTGTTGATTACCTGCGAGTTTAAATGTATTGATCGCTGTTGGTCTATTTTAAGGTATATACACGGTCTTATGTTATACATTATGTATGTGGATGTCGTTTATGTGAAGGCCTATTGGATACCTGAATAGTAAACAAAACGTACAATGGTTTGCAATATAAGCTGTATTTTACAGTTGGGCTCTGGTTATAAATGTTTAGAAGTAGTAGGCTGGTGAATGGGGTGGATACTGTGAAAACAAATGATACTAAATCGAAGTCATAACATGATAAACAGATGTTATTAAGCAAACCGAATTATTGTAATCTGGCCAAACTTTGGCAGTCAAAACAGCTGAACTTTCCTATTTGAGAACGTCTTGTATTGTCATTTGTACAGCAGTCTGCTGTTATAAGAGTTGTTCAGTAACGTGCTAAGTGTGATAATTGACTCGTTCGTCACTACTCGGAACACTACTTCTAAGGGGTTGGACATTAAAACTCGAAGTGTAACTTTCAGTAAAAAATAAACATTCTATAACACACAATAGTGAAAAATAAATAAATATTATGAGTTTATTTTTTCAATAAGATTCATCAGTTAGGAAATATCAAATATGAAATACCAAAGTTTTACTTTATACACAATGTACGTATTAAACGTGTCGCAATGTTTCAAGAAGAACTGATATCTTTGTTAAGCTATATGACATGGGCGCACTATAGAGGTAAGCACGTACATAGTGTATAAAGTAAAACTGTGACATATACTATAGGTTAATAACAAAGTCATTGCTTGACAAACGATGTTATTATCTGTTTTTCAGACAAGCTTGTTGGTAGGTAGCTGTCTCCTGCACTACATAGGCGGAATCGGCATCTAGAGCAATCTAGATAGTGTATCTAGAAACAAATATGTTCTATTTGCTATTCACAATTGGGGTTGAAACGTTGCGACACGTTTAACGCGTTCATGTTTATGAATCAAGTACAACTTGGATATATCATATTGCTTTATGTTTTAAGATAAAATAACAGAAGCATGTTTTAATTGTAACAGAAAGTTGTGAACCACATGTCAACAATCTAACACAAGAAAAAACACATCCTGTAATATAAAAGGTGATGTCTAATGTTAATTTTGTTCTATAAATTAATCATTTAATCTGCATCGAAAACAACAAAATACACCAAAAAAACCAAAAAACGTTTCTGCATGACTTGCCATCACTAACTAATTTATTCCCAAAAGGAAGATAAGTTCATTATCATAGCTATCAAATTAACAAGAATAATGATGATTGGTCACTAGACGAATGTCTGAGAAAGAATAGCGGAGTGTATTACGCCTATCCACTATGCGTCTACGCTGCGTCTACGCAACAAGGTAAGCTGGTATATTTCACTTTTTCATGTTAACAGTTATGTCTAATTTCAATTTTAATTTTCGGATTTAAAAAACAACAACACGTAATGCATCACTGAATATTCAATAATGTGAATCAAAGTTCAAAGATTGACACATGTCATAAACATCCAATCAAAATGAGATTGTATAAAAGGTTAAGTTAGGTATATTACTTAAGGTCACTTTGTTATTGAAGAAGTGTAGTTTATGCAGTTATGTCTGTCTGACGATGGATTGAACGTATCCCTTTACAAGCTTTATAAAGAGGTGAAAGCGCTAGGGAGGTACTAAGAAACGCGTTGTATTTGTTGTTTTATGTATAAAATTATACTGTGTATACTAATTGTAGGATATCTATATATGCTGTGTGTACTGTGTATACTAATTGTAGGATCTCAATATATACTGTGTGTACTGTGTATACTAATTGTAGGATATCTATATATACTGTGTGTGTACTGTATGTACTAATTGTAGGATATCTATATGTACTGTGTGTACTGTGAATACTAATTGTAGGAAATCTATATGTACTGTGTGTGTACTGTGTATACTAATTGGTGAATCTCTATACTACTGTGTGTACTGTGCATACTAATTGGAGAATCGCTATATATACTGTGTGTACTGTGCATACTAATTGTAGGATATCTATATATACTGTGTGTACTGTGTATACTAATTGTTGAATCTCTATACATACTGAGTTTCTTTGTATACTAATTGGAGGATTTCTATATATACTGTGTATATTTATTTGAGGATCTCTACATTTACTGTGTATACGACTATGTAATGGTCATTATCTGCTTAAAAAATACCAGTGGTTTTCCACTATTTGTCACATCAACTAACACACGTTTGGTCTCTTATAATCACTCAAGGTCGCGTGGACGTCGTTATAAACGATAACAAATGAGTAACACCTTTTGCAGATATTTGAGTTGTCTACCTTGCTTACTCTCTGCACTGTGTCCTCTCGTTATCAGTCGAGTTACAGCAAAGTCCTCGTAGGACCTGTTTCACTGCCTGTATAAAACAGCAGTCTCACGCCTTCATTTGATGATGTGAGCCCGTCCACGAGTTCTGATTTCCAGATCAGCCCCTCCTTCGGGCATAGAGACCATTAAGACAGTTTGTGACGTATGGATCTGGCCCGGCGATGATCATATCCCGGCAAAGGAGTTTGAAAAGCGGTCGACCGCGGTTACCGCCATATTCTGTCATCCACCGGACAGAATTAACAAGGACTTACTTGACGCTGCCGGTTTATATGTTGGGTCAAAAATAGTTTTGCCTGACGAACACTTAACATAAAAAAGACAAAATTACTAATAGTAACAATGCAATCCTATTTGCTACATCAGCTGTGTGTTCTTCACACTGCACTGATAATATAACACATATTCATGTTATATCTGAGGTTAAACGAAAAAACAAAACAAACCTAACTAGCCTACTTATAGCATGTTTATCAGATTGCAGTCTCGAATTTCAAGGTATTAAGGCCAAATTTGTTACTGTTACATGACGTATTAACACAGTCCAGGCGTAGGTTCATGGATCTGCGTTTAACAATGTTTAAACCTGCTTTATTGATTTGGGGTTGGTATATTTTCCTCAAATTTAAACCAGATAAACCGAATTTATGTTACTGAAAACGATGTTATTTTCATGTGTAATTTTGATTTATACATTTGTATTTATATGCTTGATATCAGTATTACTAGGCATAGCCATGTTAGATATGTTTCACCACAGGTACATGGTACCCACTTACACAAATATATGTATATTTTCCTTCATACACATATCACAACGAAAATTTCTGTTCGTTGTAATGTGTAGTTCGAAAGTAGAATTCCAAGGTGTTGAATTGTAGTCCAAATATAAATTTATTAGAATAACTTTCTCTAGGTCGGCGGGTGATTTCTGGAGTATCCAAAAACACACCCGTACAGTCCGATGCCTAGCTCCTTACTGATTACCAAACATGTAGAACAGTGACACATTGACAATTAACACAATACAGTTAATTTGATTGACAGCTGTCACTTATCTCTCTATTCTGACTGGTGAGTACCCGAACAGGTAAGGCAATTGGCCTGTCCTTTGTCCGAGACTTAAGTGTCATACTTGGTAAGACCAGTTAATCTCATTACGTAACATACTTGACTAAGGTATAATGTATAAGATGGACACCAATATTACATGAGTTAATCTGACGACAATGAATCAAAGAAGCTACATTGAACATTTACACATAGAGGTTTTCTTAAACGGTACAAATGTAATTAAATAGCTTTTAGGTATGAAATTGTTACTGAACGAAATTAAATGGCGAAAGTTTGTAAGAGGAAATCCAAAATAATGAATGAGATGAAATGTTAAACTAATGTTCATAAATAGCACTATTATCATAAAATTCTTTATGATACACATTATGATTGTAGCATGTAACATGTCCCTGTGTATTCCAAAACTAGTAAACATGTTTATCATGCTTTTCTAACTCTAATAGCTGGGGAAAGCATGATCCAACATCCGCTAAGTGGATTCCTTATTGTTCAAATTTAGTATAGCGTAGTCAGCCGAGGTAAACCTCAGATTATCGTTGCTGATGCACTCAATTCGATGATATCGTGAATTTATCCACTATATAATTTATGAAAACCTCGTTAGTTACTTTACAGCTAAAAAACATTTTTTTTAAATTTTATCCCGGAGTTAATTCATGGAAGATTCACATGGTTAAAAAAAAGTTTCTAGTTTTTAAACATTTTTTTATGACATTTTTTAGTGCTTAAAATCATTTAGAACTTTTGCCGTATAATGGAAAAATAAGAAAATGATGAACAGGAACACTTGCACGAAAAAAAATAGTTTATGAACTGTTAATGATAAATTTGGTTATTTCTGTTAATATTGTTAATCAAGCTGTAAGAATGGTTTTAAATATAGAGGTATATGTCATTTACGGCACTCCGAAGTATAGCCTTCGACATTTTTTTTATCAAACTATTTACCCTCCAATGAATCCAAAAATATATTTACGTAATAAAAGGAAGATTAGCTGAAAACGATTCTATCCACAGGTTTATTGGTATGCTGTCGTTCACTGCTGATTTGTCTATAATAATGTCATGTTGTTGTTATTTGGTCGTGTTGACATTTCATATTTTCAATTTTCTAATTCAACTTCAGTGTTCATTCGTTGTTATGTTGTCGTCGTTAGTTGTCCCTTGTTAATGGTTTTTGTCATTCCATCTTTTATCGTTACCAATGCCTTAATGTAGAACGTTCTGTCATAGTTTTATTAAGATGTTTGTCAAGTTTGCACTTCCTATGATTCCTTAAATCAAATACGACTGGACGTTGCACATACAAATGTAGCCGTGGACACACTGTATGGTCACATGTCCTATATTGTTGTCTACAGGCCCGAGTCTAAAGGTGGTTGGAACTATGTCTGTCGGACTAGAACATATTGACCTTGACGAGTGTCGGCGTCGTGATATCAAGGTCGGCCACTGCCCTAATGTGCTTAATGACGCTGTAGCCGAGCTAACCATAGCTCTACTCCTGTCAGCGGCACGCAGACTCAAAGAAGGTAGGTCTGTCTAGATCTGGAGTCTACATCATACCAAATCGATGACGAAAACGTTACCTCCTTTACATTGACTCAATAAAATAACATTTACCTGACTACGCAATATTGTGGCTATGAAAGTATATTTGTCTACGTCACTTCGGCTCACGAAAGGTAGGTCCGACTACGTCACACCAAACAAGTCGTATAACAGAGGTATGTCGATGTCATAGCAAAGAAAGTAAGAATATAACCATATCTAGTATGTCTGGTGCAACTATTATTATCACGATGTCAAGAGTATTTTACGTGTAGTAAGGTTTTTATTTACGAGTTTAGATATTTATTTCACTTAAATCGGAAGCTTCGGTACTTCGACTTTAGCACTTGGCCGCAGGTTTCGCTAATGTCATTTTATTAATCGATACATGTTTAAACAAATACCATTTTAATACCGGATATTTATCATACACAGGGTACGCCTGCACCAGTGTGGAAGAAACCTGGGAAAATGCCTTGTTTCTCTGTGGTCACGAGGTTTCCGGATCCACAGTTGGTATCGTCGGGCTAGGTCGCATCGGTATGGCGGTTGCTAGGCGACTGAACTCCTTCAATGTTGCTAAGTTCCTGTACACCGGAAATAGTCAGAAGTCTTACGCAGAAGAAGTTAATGCAGAATTCGTGTCGTTCGACAAACTACTGGAAGACTCTGATTTTGTAATAGCATGCTGTTCTATAAATCCAAACAACGAAGGTCTCTTCAACAAATCTGCATTCAAAAAGATGAAGAAGTCGGCTATCTTTATCAACGTTTCAAGAGGAGTACTGGTCAATCACGAAGACCTAATTGAGGCTTTGACCACTGGTGAGATATATGGGGCCGGGCTTGACGTCACCGTGCCCGAACCACTTCCACCGGACAGTCCTCTACGCTACCTAAAAAACTGCCTGGTGACCCCTCATCTCGGCAGCGCCAGCTTGAAGGCAAGAAACGCAATGGCCAGTCTCACAGCAAGGAACATTTTGGCGGGAATTAGAGGCGAAGATCTCCCAGGTGCTGTCCCGTAACATATTTTCTACGATTGTATATATACAAGCATTGACTATAAATTTATTGTTAATTTCCAAACGTGATTATTAAACATGTTACAGCTACAGAAAATGCATCACAGTTAAGGAAGCTGAGAGTAGTTACTAACTGTATACACATACAAACGGAGGTGCCATCTAGTGATTACTGGTAGTTGTTTTTAATTAAAAGCATCGGTTAATTAAACAATCTACTAGGCTCATAACGAAGAATATAGTCAGGGCGGCTGTTTTGGTATAATAGCTTCAAAATACATTTTTTTTATTAATATATTGTCCGGTCTTCCATAAAATAATAAGTGCCCTCATTTTCAAACGCAAAAGATTGGTCATGTGAGGCTCTTTGAAAAAAGAGAGAATCTAACTCGACTTTCTATTTTATATGAGATTTATAAAACGAATCCTATACTGTTTCATTTAAGCGAGCCTATGTGAGCTAAAGATAAACACCGTTTAAAGAAAAAAACGAATGATAAGTTCTAAGAAATATTCGCGAAAGCAACCTTTTCTTTGGCAGACTTGAAATTAATAAATTCGCCGTTTTGAAGTCTGTAACTTCATGAGGTTGTCCAAGTTGTAACGTCAAAAAAGAGACAATCTGAAGGTACACCAAATCATAATTATCGCTAGGCATTATTAAACATGTGTCAATAACACAGCTCTTAGTAATGGAAGTTTCGACAGTGATAAAATTGTAGTTATACAGTGTGTAAATATACGTATCTATAGACATCGCCGTGAAAATGAGTTACAATGAATTATAGATTTGTGAGAAGACATCTGAAATGACTGTTATTTGAATTTAGAATTCATACACATTTAGAAACTCACCTAAAAGTCATGCTAATAGCGTTTCTATTGGAGGTTATTCCGTCTTTGCGTATTGCAGAGTTATCTTCTCTTGTGAGCAGGTATTGATTGTTACGTCATTGGTTTGTGAGAGAAAATTACGTCGTTTTTTCAAAAATTGATGACGTTTCTCTCACAAACAAATGACGTAACAATAAATACCTGCTCTCAAGAGCAGAGAACTCTGCAATACGTAAAGACGGAATATTGACAGAAGCAGACATTAATATCAAACAAAAACTGTATGTTTTTCACTCACACGTTCGTATTTAGCAAACCGAATATACACATCGAATGTCAAGCCCGGTTATGTGTTATAAAAACATAACATAACAACATAATAATATTCAGCACATGTTTCACTTACACAATACCTTAATTTTATGCTAAAAAGTTGTTGTTTACCTACGTGTCCGGGTGTCGTGATCGCTTTGCCTAAGTTTAATATGTAGAATTATTCTATGTATGTACGGTCACATGCTATGATCGCCCTGTTACAGGTATATATAATTAATCACTGTGATGTTAAGAGGAACGTCGGTTATATCAATGCTCATTGGATACTTAAACAATATTATATTAGCTACATTTTACAGTCGGGTTCAGATTTTATATATCTTCGAGTTTGCAGGTTGGGAAATGTGGAAAACGCTGTGATAATATATGCACGATATCGAGAGTCATGTCAAAATGAAAAAATATCAATGTATAATCCTTCAGTGAAAAGATAAAAAAAAACAAAGACTATCAATTATCTTCAAGAAGCTTTATAAGTTTGAAAATATGAATTATCATCAATGTACCACATTATACCACCTGCCGAACCTATGATAGATTCATTATAATGGGTGGTCAGTTTGAGAATACTTGAGTAGAAATTGAGAATGACTTGCGAACAACTTCATTTTTTCCCCCTAATTTTGAAGTTTGTTTTCTCTTAAAAAAAGTAAAACGATTGATTGCGCCAGCTGATGTACTGAGCAGTGAATAGTATCAACATAAAGCTATAACGCGTAAGAAAATAGTCCATCAGAAACAAATTATCATAAAATTAGGAGAAAAAAAAATGAGGATAACAGCACAATGTCAAGTTTAAATGTGGATAATAGAAGCCAATGACGATAATATTAATTTGAAAATATCTTTCTACCCATTTTTAAGATACGTGGTATTCCCAAAGTTCCTATTTGTTTACATTCGTCACCGATGCTCTCTTCTGTTGAGGAACGGAGAAATATATAAGGCGGTGGTATAAAGATGATAAACAGTTTATCACATGTTTTCAGTTTGTCTTTCGAACAAGTTTCTCATATTGTGTACGTGGATAATGTCTTGAGTCCAAATGGGAGGGCCCCTCGATTTTATCCACGTGCTCACGATGAGAAAATTGTTCTCACGACAAATCTTGTAAACACAGTGTGATAATCTAAAAATATCAAAATGTTACATATAAACAAACAATGTACGTATTAGACGTGATTCAAAGTAAACTTTAATGTATACATGGGTTTATTTTTTAAGATATAATAACAGAAACATGTTTTAATTGTAACAAGACGTAACGTTCTGAACCACATTGCAACAACAACAAGTTAATACAAGAACAACCAAATTGTGTAATATTAAAGGTTATGTACAATGTTAAAAGTATTTCATAAATTAATCATTTATACTGCATCGAAACAACAAAATGCATCAAAAACAACAAAACAAACGTATATGCATGACTTGCCACCACTAGATAGTTATTAATAAGCAGTATTTATTCAAAGCAGTAAGGAAGATAAGCTCATTATCATATCTATCAAATTAGCATGAATAATGATGTTTTTTCACTAGACGAATGTCTGAGAAAGAATAGCGGAATATATTACGCTTATCCACTGCGTCTACGCATCGAAGATAAGGGGGGTATATTTCACATGTTGACATATCATTTCATTATTCAATTAAAATGTTAGATGCGTCATTTTCATTTATCTTCGATATCAGTATTTTTTTAATAACAGTTTCATGTTAACAGTTATGTCTAGTTTCAATTTCGATTCAATGAATATTCAATAATGTGAATCAAAGTTCAAAGATTGGCACATGTCATAAACAACCAATCAAAATGTTTATTAATGTATATTATTTAAAGTCACTTTGTAACTGAGGATGTAAAGTTATGTCTTTCTGGCCATGGGTTGAACGGAACCCTTTACCAGAAGAGACCCCTGTTTCTGGATGACCATTGCAGGCCAGACAAGGAAGTCCAGTATATCACCAGATCGAGTAAATTCTTTGAACTTGTCTTTATCGAATCTCTTCCCTTGGCCTTCGTCTGGAAACAGGAATTCCATACGCGGACTCTGCATAACCATACCCCAGCATATTTCTGTGCATTTATCAACGAATGACGTAAGCTTATCCACTGGAAGTGCTCCGTATTGTTCCTTGAGTGATGCTAGTTCCGCACGCACAAACTAAAAAATACATTAAGAAAATATCAAAAATATTCTTTTTAACCCTTATTTGAAAAATGTGTTTGTATTATCAAAGGAAGGGTGTCTATAAGGCCCTTTTTTGGGCACCGGTATATTCGGATTTTCACCTCCTTATTTTGTTCAAAGATGTCCTATTGTATGACATGCGGAAAAACTAAGGTAAAACTTTGACCGAAAGTGGGTTTCTGGGGGTACCAAAAGGGGTATAGTAAATCACAAATAGAGTTTGCTGTTTTCAAAATGACCTTAAAATCCAAAATAATACCATTTCTGGTTTTAAAACATGTATAAATTACAGAAGAGGAAACGAGTCTCGTCTTGTTACGAAGGTCAGATGGGTGATCTCTTTTTACAACATACACTAATGGCATGGTTACATTGTAACGCAATTTAACAAAAAGGGAAGAAAAGTTATTAAGAAATGATATGAGTAGCAGCTAGCATTGAATGTAACAAATACACCTCATGAAATCAACAAAAGGATTAACTTTTAATAGCAAGCATTAACTTGAACGAACAACTTAGTCTCTCTTTGCATTTGCAAAGCATAAACTATCTGACTTTTGGTCAGTGTAGCATGTCAAACGCCCCTCTCACTACTATAAATACTCTACTGAGCCTGTTTAATCTACATACATTCATATAGACTAGTATTGTCAGGAAATATTTGGTTATAGGCAAGGAGATGCACGTTGGTCCTTGTACTCTAAATCACAGGAAAATGTGTTTTTAAGTAAAAAGGCATTGTGGGATAAGTATGAAAATTTCACAAATTAAATATCATCATATAACTAAACTGTATGCCAAGTTACATGCTTATCCCCAAATGCCTTTTATGTACAATCAGCGGATAAACATTGGAAAGAGGCAGAACATTTGATAAAACAATGAAATCGGTTAACTTTAACCATTAAAGCAGATACTTTCATTGAGGCTAGAAGACTTGAAATTACCAGCAAATCAAACTTCATATATTAAATCAATCATTTTACAGTAGTTCTGGTGGCAAATGCCATTTTTGATTTGTAAGTTAACTTTGATAAGGTGCTATGGAACTCTTTTCAAACCCTTAACAAAGTTCCAAATTTGCAATTATATTCTAAAACATATATTTTATATTTTATTTTTTATAAAACCATGTCTTAAAAAATTCCATCAATGACAGCCGTCATTTATCGAATGAAATTGGATGAAAATAATGCAAATATGCATGTTAAACAAAATTCCTTCCTTTAAAGGAAAAAACTTACCTCTTGAACCGCTGGAAGTGAGCGTGAAGACGCCTGCTTTTGTGCATCTTTCAGACTTCTTTGGACTTCTATGGGGCAATTCATAACACCATTTTGCTATTTTTAAAATTGAAATAAAGTCGTTTTTATTGGTTAGTATTTTATAGGCATAAAATATTTGAGAAAGTATAAATGTCGCAAAATTGTACATAGAACAATAGAGTGTCAATACTCATGGATAAAATCACGAATGATTTTTTTTGCCTAACATTTAGGGCCAGTAACCGTCATTATTTGTAAAATCTAGAAAAATCCTATTCTGGTACAGTAGGTATAGTAAGGTGATGGATTTTTAAGTCCAATATTTTACAAAACATGAGAAGTTCTGAGGTTTTGGCTATTTTATTGCTAAGATATTAGAATATTATTTAACACTACCTTACTTTGACCAAACTAACTTACCTCCATTTTCGATTCAGGTATAACTGCTTTTTGTAACTTTTTCATTTGATCATCGGCAAGTTTAATACACGATTCGTGACTTTTCTGTAAAGATAAGTGTTTTTTTCAAGTTATTGGGTAGAAAGGAATTACTTTAGATATAGATTTTTTTTTCAAATCTTGTAGAATACGTTAAATAAAGTTCAAGTAGAAATTCGTTAAAAACGGATATATAGCGATCCCATCACAATTACCTGTAAGCTAACCAGTGGTCCATCATATCACTATGTGGTACAAGACACATAAACTTTTCAATCAAAGATCAACATGTTTTACCTTGCCTTGGCTTTACAATTTAACTGCACTTGATTGTCAAATGTCAATTTGTCTATTTTGTTTGTACTTGAAATACAGTTCAATACATTCATCCAAACATCCATTCAAAGCCATCTATTGTGCTTTTCGTTTTTCGCAAACAGCATGACACATGGACTGTCTTAAATTATTATAGGCCTAAACAGGAAATTATCTACTGACATGTCCTTCAGTGGTAGTATCAAAAGAAAAGTTCATAACCACTTTGATATTAATAGCTCTTACATATATTTAAAATGAATATATAAATTTTACAAAAACCTAGAGAGAAACCTACTTTAAAAATCATTATCATGTCTTTTGATGATTGTGAAATATACCGATGATTTAAATGGTATTTATTTTCATAAAACACTTTTTTTTTCAAACTCTGTTATCTTAGAAATTGATTTTTTTGTCTTAATAATAAAACTTATTCATCCTTATAGTAGGTTAGAGATGAATGTGACAAACATTTTATTACAATCCTAAATAAACAATATTCAGGCAATGTTGTGTTGGAAATTCATCAAGACATTGTAAACACTACTGGTTGGGACAGGTGTATGAAATGGTGATGATAGGTACAACCGAACACGGAAATCTGTCGATATCAGAAATATAACTGCAAAGCCATTGGATATGACTTGTACTTCATAATTGTTATGCTGTTGTAATGAAAATCCAAACCAAATTACATGTTAAACTTGTATTGTGAACTCAATGGTAAAACACACAGTAGTTACATCGTAGCCATCTTGGAACCTTAGTCCAGAACGAGGCTTGTTGTAGTCTATATTAGAATGCATTGCATAACGCCTATTAAAGTCTGTTCCATTAAAGTACATGCGTGTACTCACAGTAATGTCCATACATATATTTTATAACTCCACAATAATAACTGAATTCGACCTTGATACCACACTGTCCTACTCAAAACTCTTATGTTTTACGACAACAGGCAACGAAGACAGAAAATATATACATACCCGAAGAATGTCAATCAGTATATCTATTCCTCTGCGTTCACTTATTTCTGTTTCCTTAGTTTCAGTTAGTTTCTCCATGGCATCCGTCCATTCATCATCGTACAGCTGACTGTATTTCTCTCCCAGTTTGTGGGGTCGTTTGGGGTCACTCAGGTCAGCTATATCCGGGTTATCTCGGGTTAGCTTGTCTCCGGTCAATTTACTCATTCTGTGGAATGTATGTATATCATATATTAACATATATTTAATGAATTAACTTTGTGGAATAATGAATATTTTTATTGGACATGTAGTTGCAAAAACATAAACACAGAGTGATATCTTTGAGTGTGTAACCATTGTGATAAAAGATATCCTGAATATGATATTTCTAAAGTATGCATGCTGAAGTCCGGCGCCAACATTTTGGAAAAAAACACAGCTGCATACTGCTATTACGAGCATATGAGCCTTACCTTGGCACTCAAGGGGTCTAACGTCTGACATGCAAGACAGAATAGTTAGAAAAAAATCATACGCTGTAAAATGAAGACATTTGTTCCCTGATTTGGTAAAAATTGAAGAATGATCTGTGAAAATGATAATCTAGTATACATACATAAATACCTTTAGTCATAGATTTAGCTCTAAGGTAAATGTTTTTTCCTCTCTAACTTTAAAATATTAAAACAAAATCACGGTATAAGAATCCACACCTGTCCATCCAATATTCCTTGTCCGTCTGTGACTGACTTAACCTCTCCTGTGTGTCTTTCAATTGTTTTTCCATCTCTTCATATCGTTTTTTTAAGGGGTGATTCTGTTCTCTTTCAACCAAATATTCCTTGTCGCTCTCTGCCTTACGTAACTTCGCTTGTGCGTCTTTCAGTTGCTTTTCTATCTTTTCATTTTCCTGTTGTAAGTGATGCAATTTTGTTTCGTGATTGTCTTGATGCGAGCCACAGGCAGAATACGGACGAGACTCATGGCGGATTTCATGTGTTACCTTGGTGCCCTGTTTTGGTGTGTCTTTCTTCTTTTTATCTCTGAAAGTGAAACCGATTTCATGCAATTATTCCTGTTTTCATGTCAAGAAATATGCATAATTACAAGAATACTGAAACATGAAATGCATATTAAAGAAAATGAATAGAAATAACCAGATTGTTTAGTTAATATTATTAATATGATAATCAAATCACTGTTTAAACATTGATATCACAATTAATTCAGTAGTTAGTGAAAAAGGGCATTACGATCTGTGTATCTATCAATATTAGAAATACACGTATAGGCAACCAAGAAGTACGTTGCAGCTTCACCTCTCTTGTCTAGGAACAAAAGGTCAATTCTTATCTACAATCGATAGATTCGTGTAGAAGCATCGGTCACTAGTACTGTTTAAATGTTTCGAGTGCATCGGGGTTCATAACAATTAATCATATTCCAGGAACATGACTTTACTTCTTAATATGAAATATTATAGCAGTACGTCACTGAAATGATGGTCGCTTACGAAATAAGTGCTTAGAAAATGATCATCAAACAAAACATATAACACAAGAAATTGCATAAAAAATATTCAGTTCATAAGTGAAAGTGTTAGCTATTTTATTTGTCGGATTTGATTACATGGCCAGATTTTAATACACATAAAATGTTCTTATTAAATGTAATTTTGCGAGATTTCACAATGTTTACTCTGGAATTTTGTAGTTTTATTTCGACTTTAACAGGACCAGGAAAAATTTTGTTTCAGCGTTATATTTCCATCACGTATTTTGTGTTTATTTTTATGTTAAATATATTTATAGATAGTCTCAAAGTTCACTTAATCCCAATGTTTAGGTGTTTGCGGTTTACATTTATACGACTGTAACTGAATAAGATTCAGAAATGTAGTAATCAATATAATTTAATTTTACCCCTTATAGGAACACTATTAGCTGTAACCATATCGATTTATAAAGAGTTATCAAGATTCTAGTGATGAAAAAATAGCAATCTTAACAGTAATAGAACAACAGTTCTATGAATTGATAAATTCATTACAAATACTTCCTCAGAATATAGCTTAAATGTGTTATAAGAAACTGCTCTGAAATTGAAACTTTATGATCAAAATCAAAATTGTTCGAATGCACATAATTTAATAATTATTTTATGGTATCCAAGCTAATTGTACAACCCTATAGTTTATGGTAAAACAAATCTTGGTGATTAAATTTGCCACAATCAAACTCAAATTATTGGTGATCGGAGACACGGCGTTTTATCTTTCTTGTTAGGCCTTGGAGATTCACACGATACCCCCATATGTGCTGAATAACTCTAAGATATGTCCGTAGATGGAGGAATAACTCCTTATTTATGATTTTCGCCCGATTGTTAAAACTCATGACCCATTAGTTAGACTACATATTTCATTTTCTTAATAGCCAGTCACATATATCCCATTGCCATAAAGTTTGAAATATTTCTGCATTTAAAAAAAAAATATTTTTGTAAAAACCCATTCGTTCATGTAAGAGTTCTTATGACACTGCATGTACACCGGACGCAGGATGAAAAACAAATACGTGCATGTGTAACAGGTACTGAAGCTATCTTCACGCACAAATTTTCATCTTGCTTAAGTTGACATTTATCAAAATCGTGTTTTGTAACCTATCTTTAAGCATTTTGCCTTACTGATTCGGTCAAACGTCAATTGTGAACTCGAGTGGTCAAAGGTCACTTTGAAACGTGATTGATAAGATCAGGTTGATATTTGCATTGATCGAAGAATAAACAAGAACACGAATTGCAAAATACCCTTAAAACTTTCAAAGACTAAAAGAATTCTTCTTCGGGCAAAATAAATATGTTAAAATATCATATGCTGATGCACTCAAGTATTTAAATGTTCATGCGTCAGTGCAATGTTATACTTTTTCTCGTTACCTTTACTAAATCTTAACTTATATAGGCAGTCTTGCAGCGATCGATTGGGCTGGTCAAGTGACTATTTTGATTTAGTTGACATTTAGATAGCTAATAGAATTATAACGAGGATAGACATTTGACTTAATTGATAAATAGAAGGTGTTTAATGTTTTCCTGTTTTAGTGCATACATAGACGAAAACGGGTTTGCATTAAAAAATATGGGATATCTGTTGACGCCCTGCAACTAGGATGCAATTTAAATAGGCTGCTTCACACTTTTCTGCTATTTTCTGCAACTATTTGGTCAAGTTGTTTTTACAAAACTGATGTGATATATTGTGAAGGTAAATGAATACCCAACTCATCTGTACGCACGCTGTCAACGGCGGTTGCGCTGATGATGCTCCTGTCCTATTTTCAACCTGCTTTTTCTGAACTCCTTCTTGGTTAGGCTGTAAATTATATTTGTTTCATCTTATAAACAAATATTATTCAGAAGTTATTAAAATCATGGAAAGTATTTCATGATTCTGGTTTACAATTGTTTTTTTTAAAGAAAAAGTCAGTTTAAGAGATAGAGCTTGGTTAGTTCCGCTTATACCGGGATGCAAGGCGATTGAAAAATAGGAAAAACTAAGTATAGAAGTCAATTGCAACAAGCTTGGGATAAATTGAGTGTAAGTCAGGTTTTCCCGTTTTACAGGTTTTGTCCGAACAGTGGGCTTCTTCAGTGTTCGGGGGGAAACTGGTAGACGTTTCCAAATAGATAAAACCTAGCGTATCCCGAGCTTTTTTTCGATTGACTTCTATATTTAGAAATGATCAGATACAGTGATATCAAAGTATAATTGAGTACAATATTTACTGCGTAATATAATATGCTTTATAGCGTAATTTTCATATCATTTAATGTGATTCCTTAAACACCAATCATGTTCTATCTTACTTACTGGAGTACATACCTCAACCGCAGATAAGATAAACTCTTTACCACTGGCGTATCTTTTTCTATGTAGAGGCAACTTCCATGGAGGCACCTTGAAGTCTCGATGTATAAGGTTTTCAAGGTTCTCAAAACCAGATTTCAGTTGATCTTTTTTCTTGTTCTTTAAATAAAATGCCAAATTTCATCTTAACAGATTTCTGTTAAATTAATACATCAGCTATTACATGAATGAATAATAAAACACTTCAACACGAATGTACATATGATTCATTAAATTATTAAGTAATGAATAAAGGATAATGACGCATTTTATCAGTTCCACTGTCTATTTGAGAAAAACACAAGACATGCGATTTTTTTTGGGAATACTCAGAATCCCTTTTTATTTTTTTACGATTATTTACCTTAATAATCTGTTTGCACATAAAAATCTTCATCTCAATACAATGTATCTATCAAAGCAACAAGGTATTTTTTCTGCAAGAAATGCTTAACTTACATGAATTAAATAGGATGTTACCTTCACTAATATTGTTAATTTATCCCAAGCCGCCATTGTGTCTTTGTTATTAAGTAAGTTTTTCGTGTTTATTAGATCGCTTTGCATTTCTACAAGCCGATTAATGACTTCTGTTTTCCTGGAAAAGGAACAAAAAGTTAAAATAGATAAAGTAATTGGATATGCGATAAACATTTCTAGCGGATAGCTATAATCTTTCTTTGTTTTTTTGTGTGTTATCAGTGTCTAATATGTTTTTGCAGACATTCAGTGTAATACGATATATTGCATTTTTCTTAATCTTCGGTACGGTCGCTCATGTGGTTAACTAATTCCCCCTCCCCCCCCCCCCCCCCCCCCCCATTCATAATTTGCATAAATATTGGATTAATAAAGATTCAACCCCTATAGTTCCTAATCAGTATCAATGGGTAGCAAAAGAAAAAGAAAATTTAAATAACGAACATTAATCTTTCATTTATGAATATGTACGTCTCTGCTTAGTAAACTCTGGCTGCGTATAAATAAGCGAATACGCAATGAAAAAAGGCTCGGCGGATTGATACCTATTTCAAATATGGGGTCGTTCTCGCTTCAGCGAGATAACTGTTCAGTGACAGACATTGTTTTGTTCCTTTAACATCTAGAAACGTGAAACAGTTTTGGGGTCTATTATGACTGAATATACAACAAAAGAATGCTGGCAAACGTTTTATTCCATGGATGCACATTCAAAAGTATTTGACGGTAAAGTAAACAATGGCGGTTTCCTTTTACGACTTTCGATTACGTCACTACCAGAGCAGTGTGTCGATGTATATATAACGACCGTTATTAATTAATAAAAATGTTAAAGTGCTACTGATATTACTTAATTAAATTAGCTTAATCGACAGAAGATTTAGCAATTTGTTTCATGGTGATTTTGGGTTATGCAATGCGATACACTCTCGAACGATAAGGGCTTAATGAAAAATGGGGATTTAGCTGTCCATACTTTTTATAAACGGCTGTTTCATAAATTGCTTAGTGTATGTGTAAGAATGTAAGTTTTAATCGGTATTTTTGTATAACAATCAAGTTTTATTTATGACAAGACATCAGAACATTAAGGGGTCAGATAAGGCAGGTGTCATGGTACAGCCCACTTCATAACCTAATCATGGGTTATCAATGCAATTGGTTTGTCATGTCACAGCCAACTATAATAATTTGTATACTCTATGTGAGGCTTCAATAAAAAGCCTTGTCTGCTTATGATTGAAGGTGACCCCTTACATTAATATAAGGGGTCAGTAACAAACTACAATGTATCTGGACATGTAGCTGATAATAAATATCCATCTACAATGCTTTCCTCTGGCGCATTATTATATTTACTCAACTAAAAGGTTACATTATTCACGCCATCTACTACTTACAAATGTACATAATTCGTGTGAGGTACAAAAACATAAATAGAGGAAGTATTACAATCAACGTTAAGCTATACAGCCTAAGTTAATATGTCCGATATACAAACGTCAGTGCTCCTAAAATATGACTGAAACAATGTGTCATATTAACAGACATTATTTCGATGCAAGGAATATATACATTAATCAGTAAAATAAAGACAGTTACTTACGTCGGCATGTTGACGACGGCGTGTATAACACTTCCTGGTTGTGTTTCTTTCAGAGAATCTCGTAACGAGTTCTAGGTACGACCGCATACATTATCAGTGCCACTAGATTTTCGAACGGATCAATACCGTAGGCAGTGTGTACACATTTAAATGTCTGAACAACAGAACGTTAAACTGTGACACGCTATTACGTGCATGTATACACATGTGTAGATGATTAAAACACAGACTAGATCAATAGCAGTGTATCAATATACACGAAGTTAGTAAGACTGTGTGTAACTTTAACGTGGAAAGTCTGGTTACTGTATATTATATATAACTAAAATAGGGGATATCTGATACTTGTTATTTACGGCTTGAACACCGTACTAAAATATACTAGACTGATCTTACCTGTGGGCGAAGGAAAACATGGCAGGGCAGTTAGGTTTTTTTCTTAAGTTTAATGGATCCTTCAAATTGTTGTCGCCGAAGTCATGTCATTTTTGCTTTCGTTTTGTCTCTTCAGATTTTGTTGTTGCCATTTAGTGCCAAATTATAATTCCGATTTTAAACTGTATTACATTTTGTCCCTTTTTCTCGTTGTCACTGTAATGCATTTTGGCCTTGTGTGTTAACTTTTTAATGTATTTTGTGCGTGTATGTTAACTTTTTAATGTATTTTGGACTTGTATGTTAACTTTTTAATGTATTTTGGACCTGTATGTTAACTTTTTAATGTATTTTGGACTGGTATGTTAACTTGTTAATGTGTTTCGTACATGTTTGTTAACTTTTTAATGTATTTTGGACTTGTATGTTAACTTTTTAACGTATTTTGTACTTGTATGTTAACTTTTTAATGTATTTTGGACTTCTATGTTAACTTTTTAATGTATTTTGTACTTGTAGGTTGAAGTCTTAGGACGTTTAGTACGTGTAAGGTAAATTCGAGATATGGTTCGTTCTTGTTTATTAATTCGTTTTCAGGTTTGTACGTTACCATAGTGGTAATTCTACTACTACTAACGTTTTGTTGAGGTGAATAGCTCGAAACTTTACAATTGATGTCATAAAGAGATGAACATTAAGACTTATGTTCTGAATTAAGTAATATCGAGTCGATATCATAAATCACCGACTTCCACGTAATTACAATTCGACAAATACAAAATTAAGAAGAAAATGATATCGTCTAATATTGTTCATTCATGGAATTTTGTGAACGTGAGTAAGTTGTGATATAGACTCAGAACACTGATTCTGACAAAGGCGAATCCGAGGTCTATATTTCTTTTTATGTTCATGTCAAAACATGTTAACCATAAAAAAAATATGATTGTTTCGGTTTTCAAGGCTCCAACAAGTAACTGTTTAAGTATATAAATGCAATCTTTTCTATCATGTTTTATCGCAGGTTCTAAGTCATACATCTAAGCTGTCCAATAAATTTTATTTTAATGTTTAAAAGTTTGTAAGAAACTAGTCATTTTAATCGAGTAAGTGAAGGGGGTGTCCTTAAAAGGCTATATATATAAATCGATATCTGCTGGAAATCCTATCTCCGTGATGTTTTGAGGACTGGTCACGGCAAAATTGGGCACGATACATCAAATCTAGTATGTAAAAATTGTAATCGGATGTAAAGCCTTTGTCTATACTCTTGAATTAATTGCATTGGTTTGTTGTTTTCTTTTTTACCGGATACATGTGATATTGACGTAAAATATTTGTATGTTATATTATTTGATTTAAACAACACTGGCATGTGACAAATCATATGAAGGAAAATATCGTCTTGGTTTTATAAATATTTCATTACAGTTACTAGTTCCTTTCACATAACTTACCGTTTTCACCTGGACGAGAAATTATTTGCTTATAATGTAGCCGAAGGGGGTTACATGAACATTGGCATCAGCATAAAAACAAAATCAATAGAGCTGTCTTTCTTTGTTTTCTATTTGTGGTAAGCACTCGTTTGACATCTTTTGTTTTAATTATGCCGATTATCTCGGAGGGCAAAGTAAAATGAGCGCAAACGTCTGAGAGTCATAAGCAGTAATATTGATGATGAATTCAGGATGTCATCATCTTGATGCCCTGCGTTTTTATTATGTTGATGTTGTACACCCTAAATATTGAATAATTGTGATATATAAAACAAGCCAGACACATATATATTGAAGTGATTTTGTTTATTTTTGGCGTTATCATTTAACGTGAATATAAATATAATGTAAAAGGAATAGGCCATATTTGAAAACGGAACATCACTTTAATAAAAACAATAATAACACTTAAAAATGTAAAGAGCACTATTGTTCACGAGTAAATTAATTAAAAGGAAGATATTTCCAGAACGTATCAAAATTAAACAAAACCTGTAACGGTTACCCGTTTATGGTTGCTTCGGAAGAAACGTGCCTGTTCAGAACAGCAGCATATAAACTAAAATAGAAACAAATCTACATCAAACGCAAAAATAAATAAAATGAAATTGAAAAAAAAAAGATATGGCAAAACTTCAAAGCATGAGGATAAATCTGAGGCAGATCAAATACAAAGGATAACGACAGGAATACATACACAAAATCTAAAGTCCTTGTGATAATTAAATATATTAGTAAAAGAAACAACACAAATATAACTTTCTTAGTACTTTCTTTTCTTTAGATGTTCAGCAGGGGATAGAATGATGAGCCCTTGAAGAGGTGGAAGTACTGAGGAAGTACTCTTTGCTTGTTATTTCTTTATTATATCAATAAGACATGAACAAACCCACACGACGAATATCAAACCAGGTACTTAGGAAGAGTTAACACTTCAATCGTAAGGTACAAAATTTGTCAGTAGACAACGATCAGTATCCATGTTCGGTGTATGGGGATAAGGTTGTATCTATACATTTAATTAGGATATTTTAATTAGTTTGATTCCGCAAAGGAACCACACAGGTTCCAGTGTAGTATTTCGTGTTTCCTTATTGCAACATCACTTATAATGTTGTTAAAACAAGTCGAGATTTTTGCCTCGATTTAAGAACAAAAGAGAAGCTTTGATATTTCATAGACAAACATTAGCGTACGTTCATTTAGCTGAAACAAAGGCAAGGACCTCTTACTTTTAAATGGTACCGCTAATTTGCAGATACATAAGAGAAAAAGTATACAGAGCCACTATATCATAACTCAATATTGATATGCAAAGAAAGGCAGTATTATCATAGGTCTACAGCTGTGCCTTTAGGTTTATCTTGATTTACGAAATCGCTTAAATATAAGGATAAAATATGTATACCTATAATTTGTTGTACATCTAAAATACAAATTATAGAGTATTACTTAAGACAAAGGTTGGAGGTATAATATGGAATCGCGTAATTAATGGTTTATGTATAGCCTATGTTTGGTAAAGATTATGAATTCAAGAACCGCACATGAACCTTATTGATAGTAAATACCGAAAACGTTTGTCCCTTTACAAACACATCAGAACTTATCCTATTGAACATTTGAAACAATTTTTTTAAATTTGGAATCGGATGGTTTTAGAATTAAGGGTCAAATTATGATTAGCAATGAAAGAATGCTAATCGTCTTTACGTTTTAAAAAAACTTTTGAAATTGCTGTTAAACACTTTGACAATGACACTTTTCACACAACATGTAATCATTTGAATAAAATAATACTGCACGAATATATGCCAAACAAATAATTAACGCACTATTATACGAAGACATTTTAAAAGTATAATGATTAAACGATGACCACATCTTTCAAATTCATTTCCATGCTAATTGTCTTGGTGAGATATGTCGTTTTATTGATAAATTTGTTTACAACTTTCTGCAGAAATGTCAGGATTGCATTTTCTCTTATCTGCTTTAAATGTAGCTTCTCCTTATCTGGCTACTGGTTGTACGGTTCCTTTCCTCAGCAGTGGACCGTCCTGGTAGAGAAGCAGAGCGGGCCAGACAACGTACTCCACAGTGTCACCTGATCTAGTGTATGCCTGAAACATGTCAAAGCGTATTTGTTTCTTTTTGCTGACATCGGGCCACAGGAGAAATAGTCTTGGATTGTGTGTTACCATGCTCCAGCATATCTCTATACACTTTTCGGTGTAGAGTGGTATCTGCTTTACTTTGTCCTTCAGTGGCGTGTGCTTTGAAAGACTTGCTTTCACATTCTGAAATTGTTTTTTTGAAAAATGTGTTACATTAATGTATCATAATCGCCTTCGTTCTAAGTTCCGTTACACACGTATGTTATTCTTAGTATATACTATATTATCTTTAATATATTAACTTAAACGAAACAGTAGCTTTTCATGCTTTTCAGATACTCTTATTATTTCCTTATGTGTCAAACATTGTTCTTATCTTGTTGTTCTAAAGTAAATAAATAAAATCTTTCATATTTTCAATACACTTGGACGGACTCATATGCGTATGAACTCATAGTTTTGATGCAAAAGGATAATACCAGACACTGTCTGTGGAGACAGCAAAACCTAAGACAATAACGTCATAACTGAATTAACATAAACTTCTTTTGACTGAGACAAGTAACGTGACTTGAAGCAACTTCAAAATAGGGCAGATTCAAACGTTAGTATTTTGTTATCGAATTTCAAAAAGGAAATTTGACGTGAAAGATAAAATTCTGGTATTGTATTTTAAATTCGCTTAAAATGATAATGGTCAATGATTCCAACTACCAGCCATTAAGTTGTGCTTCTGATGACATATAATACTCACATCAACTGCAATCCTCCTTGAAAAAATAGAGGCGCCATGTTGTGCATCTAACAGATTGCGTTTGATTGCCTCTGATCCCTCTGGTAGTTTTCCCTGAATAACGAGTATAGACCAGGTTAAGTTTGTATCAACCATTGATTTGCTAAGAATAACATTCTGCATGAAAACACACTCAAAATGTTAACCTAAAATTTCCTTGTTAACATAATTTGACTATCTTACCTGTTGTGTATTGTGTGTTTGAAAACTGCAGCAAATCATTTCAAGATGGGTTAAATTTTTGTCAGCGATCGTTTCACATTCCCTGTAACAAAACTTGAGAAAAACATTTGATCAGCAAGAAAAAATTTCCCAGAATAATAATAACTTTGCTACGTTAATATTATTTGACGAAATAAAAAGATTCTTTCGTAGAAATATAAACATTTGAAATTAAATAAATCACAAAAACGAAAAGTGAAATTTCAAAATGTTTGTTTGAATACCGCAAGGTGAACTATCTGGATTCAATTCATACTGTTTGATATTATAACCTCTTCAAAACTTCTAAAAAGAACACTATATGTTCACATTTTTTTTCTTTTCTTGAAAGTCACGCAATGTTAGAGATATTAATAGAAGATAGTATCCGACATTAACTAAGTGTGTTTTATATATAATATACTTTAAGGTATTAATTCAAACAATTGAAAGTCTAGTTATTAACCTGTAGCATTTCTAACAGGACATCTATGCATACACGTTCCTGTTTTTCCACTTTTTTGGGATTCATTTTATCTATGGCGTCCGTCCATTCGTTGTCGTAAAGTTCGCCGTACTTCTCCGCTAGCTTCTGTGGACGGTTTGGGTCACTTAAGTCTGTGATCGCTGGATTATTGTGAGTAAGTTTGTCTCCGGCCATCTTGCTCATTCTGTTATTTAGAAAAGGTAGTATGCTTTTAAGATGTTAAGATGAATGTCTATATCGATAGCAGAATTTCCAATAACATTAAATGCTTTTCATGTAACGGTTTCTGACGTATAGGTGATATTTGATGCGTTGACTTCAAGATGATGATAAAATGATGCCAGACATCAACAATGAATGATCTCGATAACTAACATTTATTTGATATTGATTTTGTAACGAAGATACACATTTTATATAGTTTTGATATTGGTGAAAGAAAATGATATTTTGACAAATACTTGATTAAAAAGATATTCATTCAACATATCTTACATAGACACCCAAAAAATGTGAAACTGACTTCACCTTGTCAACAGCCCCTCCTTTTCTTCTTTAACACTGTGAAGTTCTTGATTTAATGTCTGAATCTTGTCTTCCAATTTCATCACATGTTGATCATACTTTCCCATTAAGTCCTGTATAATAGCTTCGTAATGTTTCCGTTCATTTTGATGAGTTGGATCGTGGTCTTGTGTTTGTCTTTCATGCTCAATTTTCCTCTGCTTGGATCGATTCTCTAGTTCAGTGGTTACCGTCTCTGGTTGTGTAGATGATGCCCCCGCTGCAACTGTTGTGTTTCTCTCAGTATTATCTGTCAACCTGCATGCATATAAAGATATAAACTATAAGTAACTTGATCAACTGCAAATTCTTAAAAGCATACACACCTACTTATTAGTGAAAATGTATGCCAGGCTTGCATGCTGGTTTATATAGCATTTCATTGTCGACAGGTTTACCAAGCATTTTTATTCATAGTAAATAACTTCCTTTTTAATCGATAGAAAATCCCAGATGTTCTCATTAGCCCTGTTATTCGTATGTTAGACACACCTTACTCATCTAGAATCATTATCCCTTGGGAATAAGATGGGAGAATCTCAACCCGAGGGGGAAGACTAAGTTGCCAAATACAAGGCTTTGCCGAGAGCTTTTAGACTTCCAATCTCACCACAAGGAGGTTAATGATTTCTTTTCTTTTACCCTGTTTCCTCATTGTGTATCATATACAAATGTAATGTTAATGTTACAGGCTAAATCCAGGGTTTATCCTGTTTGTATCGTTGACCGTACGTCATATAATTGTTATGAATAAGGGATTCTCCCCTTTTCAAACCGTGGGTGAAACAAGGATATCTTACGCCGAGAAAAGTGTTGATACATCTGTCCAGAATAACAGAAAAGTTATGTCTCACATTATAGCACTCATTAACCTTTTGTTAAGGATGTACATAGTTTTTCAATCTTGATTAAGAAATGCTGACAAAAAATGGTTTTACCATTAAATGCTATGGATTATGGCGTCATCTTAGTGCTGTAATTGACGTCACCGAATTGCTAGTGAAAATCTTGGCAAACGACATCGCCTAATAGAAACAAACATTTTTTAGACAAACTTGTTATTGACTCCAGCGAATGGCTATGATTTTCATGCATACAAGTTCTCGTTTCTGCTATTTTGAAGATTCTTAGTAAACGGCGCATATGTGGATGCCACACCATAGCAACAAAATGAAAGCCTCGACATATGTCAACCAACCATTACTTTCTACGATTGAACTCTTGTATGACAATACAAAACACAAACGTCGGGTATAAGGCCAAAGCAATGCCAAAGCGCAAACTTATCCGTAACCGCAAAGTTTTCTTGTACTGGTACACATATCTGTTAAAACACAACACCTTACCTACATATATCGATAAAAAATTATGAATTTATTATTCAAATCCTTAAAAATATTTACAAATCACCTCTTTATTTCATCTGAAATGTTCTTTATCCTTTGATTTTAGCGTTGGATTTTTGTTTGATTTATGTAAGTGTACAGCGAAATAGCCAACCAGAGCAAAACGACTTAGTTTTAGTTTTCTGTTTAATAGAGGATGCAGAAATATAATTCAATTTTTTGCATACTGTATATAATACCAAAGTTATGGGTGCAATCAAATATGTGTGTAAATTTTCAATTTAAAGGGTGGTACAGTGTGGTAATGGCACGGTTCATAAATTACATACAAATTATCAATTTGAAATTATTCAGTACTCCTTTAATACGTTGAATTCATAAAACTAAGGGGTTTAAGGTTTTTCTTTTTTCATAGGTTTGTTTCTTCTCCATCCAAATTATAAATTCGTTATAAAGTAGATTAAGACGACAGTTCTGATACCCGGAAAGCCAGGGACAGTTTGTACGTAATTAAACAGCAGCTTGTGACTGAAAGGTTTGTCTGTTTAAGTGTAAAAAGTGTTGCTCATCTCAGTCCGTTGACATTTTACAACCAGTGTCTTGTGCTATTTATTCTTATTTCCCATTTCAAATATTAGATTTAATCCCTTACTCTTTAAACTTCTTTCTAACTTCAAATATCTGTGTCTCTGCGTCTACATATGCCATCGTGTCCATTTCATTCAGCTGTTGATCTTTCTGTATATCTGGTGGTTTGGCATCAGCTCTGCCATTCAAAACACCAAGCAGCCATTCGATGAGTTGACACACTCTGGTAAGCGCTATGGAAGCACTGTCATCCCCTTTTCTGAAATAGTTCACTATATAGTTGATAGTATAAGTTAAGATCTAAAGTGTTATGCAGGGCATTCCGTTATCTCCTTTTATTTCAAAAATAGATTAGATCAATTAAAATTTCGGCATTTTGGCCCCCTGATATCATCGATGAATCATAGAAGGATGACAAAGCTTTATAATATATGATGTTGTGTAATTCATTTTGGAATATTGTATCAAAGTTTTAAAGGTGTAATTACGTGTATGTATGTGAGTGTGTTTGTGTGAGGATGCGTGTGTGTGTTAGGGTGTTGGTGTATGTGTGTGTGTGTGTGTGTGTGTGTGTGTGTTACGTTTACTGTCATTCACTGGTTTCAATATTTATTACTGATATATGGATTGAATCATGTGATTCAATTAAATACTGAGATACAGTTAAGTTAAATGAATAGGCAGTTAAAATGTCAAAAGTAATAGTTGAAAATATACTTTTCTCATTATAATTGTTCAAGTGTGCGCTCTCTCTCGGTCTGTGTATATCATGTCTACCACGGCATGTACTTACTGCGGTAAAGGTTGATTGGTTTGTTTAGTGACTTGCACCTTCGTCACTTGTTTCCCTTTAGCTTCAAGTCCTTGATGATGTTTTCTATTCTGCGAGGATATTTGTATAAAAAAATATGTTTTGAATGCAGAATTTTATGAATCATAAGTGTTTCTTTTTGAAATTGTATCCAAATATTGAAATCAAAAATGTTAATTCGGCTAACTAAAAAGCTGTTATTAAAGGACGTTTATATCAACATAATTTTTCTTACCTTTATTGCTTGGGAAGCTGCAATTATTGATGTCTTCAGGTTGTTATATGTTTTGCGCTTCACGAGCTGTTCTCGTGTTATGCGAAAATTATTTGCAATTTCGTTTTCAAGCTTTCCAAAGGCATCGGAAATATTACCGCTTTTCTGTAAACGATAAAAACATGTCAATCATGGCTGATATGTCATCATAATGTATATTCTATAGTTCTTTCGTAATTAGAATATTGAAGTCACTTTTGAACAGTCGGCCAACACGTTTAATAAATACGTTTTGCAAACGAAAGCATGTTTGATTACTATACATTACCAATAATAAGTTACCATGTTAATGAATATGGAATTATAATATTATTTACATAATGAATAATTACGTTAGTAGTGAGTTTCAAACTGTGATCCCCAATTCACTTGAATATGTAATTCTCAGGTTTGTAAAGCAACTTACTGTAGCTACACAGTTTTGCAGGCCATCCCATTTTGATTTAACTTCCTTTTTAGCTAAGAAGTCGGGTTTCTCCATTAAATGTTTTTTCAGTTCATCGAATTCAGGAGGGAGGTAATTACTATGAATACAAAAAGAAATCCAATTACAAATATATTGATATTTATATTCATAAAAAAAATCCTGCTAAATATGCATAAATATTTTAATCATAAGCTTAAACAATAATTTACCTCTGTACAAGTGCAATGTATGATGAAAGTGAACGCATTCATTTCAAAGTAAAACCTTTCTTCAATCGTTCTGCGATTAAAAAAATTGTCGGAGAAACCAACACTTAAAGATAATATATTGAAACAATGATAACAATAAATACCATCAAACTTAAAAATAGATTACACTACACGGCCCAAAATTTACACATTGATAACGTTTTACGACCAAACATCATCACGTTGTGTACTTTTTTCAACATTGTACTGACACAGTGATAACGTTTTCTCGTTCCTCAGACAGACACAATACCATATACTGACACAGTGATAACGTTTTCTAGCACCTCAGACAAACGCCATACTATGTACTGACACAGTGATAACGTTTTCTCGCACCTCAGACAGATTCCATACCATGTACTGACACGGTGATAACGTTTTCTCGCACCTCAGACAGACTCAATACCATGTACTGACACAGTGATAACGTTTTCTCGCACCTCACACAGACACCATACCATATACTGACACAGTGATCACGTTTTCTCAAACCTCACACAGACACCATACCATATACTGACACGGTGATAACGTTTTCTCGCACCTCAGACAGACACCATACCATATACTGACACAGTGATCACGATTTCTCAAACCTCACACAGACACCATACCATATACTGACACGGTGATAACGTTTTCTCGCACCTCAGACAGACACAATACCATGTACTGACACAGTGATAACGTTTTCTAGCACCTCAGACAGATACCATACCATGTACTGACACAGTGATAAAGTTTTCTCGTACCTCAGACAAACGCCTTACTATGTACTGACACAGTGATAACGTTTTCTCGCACCTCAGACAGACACCATACCATATACTGACACAGTGATCACGTTTTCTCAAACCTCACACAGACACCATACCATATACTGACACGGTGATAACGTTTTCTCGCACCTCAGACAGACACAATACCATGTACTGACACAGTGATAACGTTTTCTAGCACCTCAGACAAACGCCATACTATGTACTGACACAGTGATAACGTTTTCTCGCACCTCAGACAGACACAATACCATGTACTGACACAGTGATAACGTTTTCTAGCCCCTCAGACAGATACCATACCATGTACTGACACGGTGATAACGTTTTCTCGCACCTCAGACAGATTCCATACCATGTACTGACACGGTGATAACGTTTTCTCGCACCTCAGACAGACTCAATACCATGTACTGACACAGTGATAACGTTTTCTCGCACCTCAGACAGATTCCATACCATGTACTGACACGGTGATAACGTTTTCTCGCACCTCAGACAGACACAATACCATGTACTGACACAGTGATAACGTTTTCTAGCCCCTCAGACAGATACCATACCATGTACTGACACAGTGATAAAGTTTTCTCGTACCTCAGACAAACGCCTTACTATGTACTGACACAGTGATAACGTTTTCTCGTTCCTCAGACAGACACCATACCATGTACTGACACAGTGATAACGTTTTCTCGCACCGCAGACAGACACAATACCATGTCCTGACACAGTGATAACGTTTTCTCGCACCTCAGACAGATTCCATACCATGTACTGACACGGTGATAACGTTTTCTCGCACCTCAGACAGATTCCATACCATGTACTGACACGGTGATAACGTTTCCTCGCACCTCAGACAGACATCATACCATGTACTGACACAGTGATAACGTTTTCTCGCACCTCACACAGACACCATACCATATACTGACACGGTGATAACGTTTTCTCGCACCTCAGACAGACACCATACCATATACTGACACAGTGATCACGATTTCTCAAACCTCACACAGACACCATACCATGTACACATTGATAACGTTATACGACCATGTACGGACAAAGTGATAACGTTATACGACCATGTACTGACAAAGTGATAACGTTATACGACCATGTACTGACACACAGATAGCGTTACACGACCATGTACTGACACAGTGATAGCGTTATACGACTATGTACGGACACATTTT